TGAAATGGAACAATGGAACTACTGGACGGATTGCCATGAAATCTGATGAATAAATTATTTTCCCAAAGAGGATAAACTGCCACCATTCTGGTCATCTCCTGATGATTGATGTACATTGTCTTCAGCCGTATTCAAGAAAGCTTTGAGGTGTGTTTGAAAATCTGACGTTGTGAAGTCATCGTTTTCAGAACAAGTCGTTAGCGTTTAGAACAAGTTTTTTGATTCATGGTTCTAACACAAGACTTATTATAAGTGAGAACACGTGTGTCGCGTTCTTGCCCACAGAGGATTCCAGCTTTGAACCGTGTCTCTAAGACTAGATAAAGAGGACCGGGTACCGACCCCAGAGGAACCGCAGATGTGGTCGAGTCTATCTGAGTGTGTTGTTACTGAAGGAGAGAGAGAACTCTGCTGTGGTGTGAATGTCATCAGGGAGGAAGAGTGAGGAAACGGGGAGGACGAAGTTGTGTTGGAATGAAAAGAGAGAGAGAGAGAGAGAGCGAGAGAGAGAGAGAGAGAAGTAAAAATGAAACATCTGAGCTGAAATGAATAAAATCAGGAGAGAGATTAGAGGACAATGAAGGAATAGATGTCTTGATAAGACAGACAGAGAGACAGTCACCCTGCAGAGATAAACATTCACAGCTCCCATATTGTCCTCATGTTGACTTTTCATGTTGTCAGTGTGTGAAACCTTTAGCAGCTTTACATGATCTTATCGATCTGATACCGGCATCAGTAAAAACCCTAATTTCAGCCTCTGCCTGAAACGGTTTGTTTCAGCTGCTGTCTCTTTGAGGTCCCAACGTGAACACTTTCTTCTGATTGGCCAGCTCTCTGGAAACCTTAAGGGGGCTGCAGAACACTGCAAGGCTGCCAGGGGAGGGCTGCGCTCCAGTACTTGGAGAAAAGAGTCTATGTAAAAGGTTTCACTAGTTTGAACGTAACAGACAGGTTTCTTAGATCATTTTGGGTCACAAGAACAGAAAAGATGAATAACTGTGTCCACATTGTAACACATTATACAGTCCAGCTGTATGTGGATTCTACAGTGTTAGCGTTGTGTGCATGTGAATGTGTGTGACTTCCTGAACGAGTTTGAGGACAAAAGAGGAGGAAATGAAAGGGAGAAGCACGGAGAAAAGAAAAACATCTGCAGAGAAGGAAAAGATGGAGAGATAGAGAAGAGAAAAAACAGAACGTGAGACAGATTTTCTTATCTTCTTGGCTTCAAACTTTTCAAATTCTTTGTAAAAACCTGAACTAACAGAAGCTCTCAGTCTTCTCTCTCCTCTGTATCACAGAAACGTCTGCCAGGGAACGTTGATTTCAAGTTTGACAGAACAGAAGTCTCCTACAGACCACAGAAGTGACCTGAGCTCTCACTGGAGGAGAAATCTAACTTTAATTGCACGCTTAAACGCAGCTGAAGAGACGATCAGATTACCACATGATCCTCTGAAAGAGGAGGAAAAACAACAATCAAGGGTTTTCCTCACTGCTCTACAGCTCCTCCTTCTGATCCAAATATTGGAGTGTTGGTGTGTTTGTGTGTTGGTGTGTTGGTGTGTTGGAGGGTTGGTGTTTTGGGGTGTTGGAGTGTTGGTGTTTTGGGGTGTTGGTGTGTTGGTGTTTTGGGGTGTTGGTGTGTTGGGGTGTTGGAGTGTTGGAGTGTTGGGGTGTTGGAGTGTTGGAGTGTTGGAGTTGTGGTGTGATGGTGTGTTGGAGTGTTGGTGTGTTGGAGTGTTGGGGTGTTGGTGTGTTGGAGTGTTGGAGTGTTGGGGTGTTGGTGTGTTGGGTGTTGGAGTGTTGGAGTGTTGGTGTTTTGGGGTGTTGGAGTGTTGGGGTGTTGGTGTTTTGGGTGTTGGAGTGTTGGAGTGTTGGTGTGTTGGAGTGTTGGGGTGTTGGAGTGTTGGGGTGTTGGGGTGTTGGTGTGTTGGAGTGTTGGAGTGTTGGGGTGTTGGTGTGTTGGGGTGTTGGTGTGTTGGAGTGTTGGAGTGTTGGGGTGTTGGTGTGTGGGTGTGTTGGTGTGTGGGTGTGTTGGAGTGTTGGGGTGTTGAAGTGTTGGAGTTGTGGTGTGATGTGTGATGGTGTGTTGGAGTGTTGGTGTGTTGGAGTGTTGGTGTGTTGGAGTGTAGGGGTGTTGAAGTGTTGGTGTGTTGGGATGTTGGTGTATTAGGATGTTGGTGTTTTGGAGTGTTGTGTTGGTGTGTTGTAGTGTTGGAGTGTTGGTGTGTTGGAGTTGTGGTGTGATGGTGTGTTGGAGTGTTGGAGTGTTGGGGTGTTGGTGTGTTGGAGTGTTGGGGTGTTGGTGTGTTGGAGTGTTGGTGTGTTGGTGTGTTGGAGTGTTGGTGTGTTGGAGTGTTGGTGTTTTAGAGTATTGGAGTGTTGGTGTGTGGGGGTGTTGGAATGTTGTAGTGTTGGTTTGTTGGTGTTTGTGTGTTGGTTTGTTGGAGTGTTGTTGTGTTGGTGTATGGGGGTGTTGGAGTGTTGTAGTGTTGGAGTGTTGGTGTGTTGGAGTTTTTGTGTGATGTGTGTTGGAGTGTTGGGGTGTTTTTGTGTTGGAGTGTTTGTGTTTCGGTGTGTTGGGGTGTTTGAGTGTTGGAGTGTTGGTATGTTGGAGTGTTGGGGTGTTAGAGTGTTGGAGTGTTGGTGTGATGGAGTGTTGGTGTGTTTGAGTGTTGTAGTGTTGGTGTGTTGAGAGTGTTGGTGTGTTGGAGTGTTGGGGTGTTGGAGTGTTTGTGTGTTGGGATGTTGGAGTGTGTGTGTGTTGGGGTGTTGGTGTGTTGGTGTGTTGGGGTGTTGGAGTGTTGTTGTGTTGGTGTGTTGTTGTGTTGTTGTGTTAGTGTGTTGGGGTGTTGGAGTGTTGTGTGTTGGAGTGTAGGGTTTTGGAGTGTTGGTGTGTTGGTGTGTTAGGATGTTGGTGTGTTGGGGTGTTGGAGTGTTTGTGTGTTGGGGTGTTGGAGTGTTGGTGTGTTAAGATGTTGGTGTGTTGGAGTGTTGTTGTGTTAGGGTGTTGGAGTGTTGGAGTGTTGGTGTGTTGGTGTGTTTGAGTGTTGGTGTGTTGGAGTGTTGGTGTGTTGGTGTGTTGGAGTGTTGGTGTGTTGGAGTGTTGGAGTGTTGGGGTGTTGGTGTGTTGGAGTGTTGGAGTGTTGGAGTGTTGGGGTGTTTGTGTGTTGTAGTGTTGGTGTGTGGGTGTGTTGGAGTGTTGGGGTGTTGAAGTGTTGGAGTTGTGGTGTGATGTGTGATGGTGTGTTGGAGTGTTGGTGTGTTGGAGTGTTGGTGTGTTGGAGTGTAGGGGTGTTGAAGTGTTGGTGTGTTGGGATGTTGGTGTATTAGGATGTTGGTGTTTTGGAGTGTTGTGTTGGTGTGTTGTAGTGTTGGAGTGTTGGTGTGTTGGAGTTGTGGTGTGATGGTGTGTTGGAGTGTTGGAGTGTTGGGTGTTGGTGTGTTGGAGTGTTGGGGTGTTGGTGTGTTGGAGTGTTGGAGTGTTGGTGTGTTGGTGTGTTGGAGTGTTGGTGTGTTGGTGTGTTGGAGTGTTGGTGTTTTAGAGTATTGGAGTGTTGGTGTTTGTGTGTTGGTGTGTTGGTGTGTTGGAGTGTTGTTGTGTTGGTGTGTGGGGGTGTTGGAATGTTGTAGTGTTGGTTTGTTGGTGTTTGTGTGTTGGTTTGTTGGAGTGTTGTTGTGTTGGTGTGTGGGGGTGTTGGAGTGTTGTAGTGTTGGAGTGTTGGTGTGTTGGAGTTTTTGTGTGATGTGTGTTGGAGTGTTGGGGTGTTTTTGTGTTGGAGTGTTTGTGTTTCGGTGTGTTGGGGTGTTTGAGTGTTGGAGTGTTGGTATGTTGGAGTGTTGGGGTGTTAGAGTGTTGGAGTGTTGGTGTGATGGAGTGTTGGTGTGTTGAGTGTTGTTAGTTTGGTGTGTTGAGAGTGTTGGTGTGTTGGAGTGTTGGGGTGTTGGAGTGTTTGTGTGTTGGGGTGTTGGAGTGTGTGTGTGTTGGGGTGTTGGTGTGTTGGAGTGTTGGAGTGTTGGGGTGTTGGGGTGTTGTAGTTTTGGTATGTTGGATTGTTGGTGTGTTGGGGTGTTGGAGTGTTGTTGTGTTGGTGTGTTGTTGTGTTGTTGTGTTAGTGTGTTGGGGTGTTGGAGTGTTTGTGTGTTGGAGTGTAGGGGTTTTGGAGTGTTGGTGTGTTGTTGTGTTAGTGTGTTGGGGTGTTGTTGTGTTGGTGTGTTGTTGTGTTGTTGTGTTAGTGTGTTGGGGTGTTGGAGTGTTTGTGTGTTGTAGTGTAGGGGTTTTGGAGTGTTGGTGTGTTGTTGTGTTAGTGTGTTGGGGTGTTGGAGTGTTTGTGTGTTGGAGTGTAGGGTTTGGGAGTGTTGGTGTGTTGGTGTGTTAGGATGTTGGTGTGTTGGGGTGTTGGAGTGTTTGTGTGTTGGAGTGTTGGGGTGTTGGTGTGTTTGAGTGTTGGAGTGTTGGTGTTGTGTGTTGGTGTGTTGGAGTGTGGGGTGTTGGTGTGTTGGAGTGTTGGGTGTTGGGGTGTTGGTGTGTTGGAGTGTTGGAGTGTTGGGGTGTTGGTGTGTTGGAGTGTTGGAGTGTTGGTGTGTTGGAGTGTTGGTGTGTTGGGTGTTGGTGTGTTGGAGTGTTGGAGTGTTGGGGTGTTGGTGTGTTGGAGTGTTGGTGTGTTGTGTGTTTGGAGTGTTGGGAGTGTTGGAGTGTTGGAGTGTTGGAGTGTTGGTGTGTTGGTGTGTTGGAGTGTTGGTGTGTTGGGGTGTTGGAGTGTGTTGGAGTGTTGGGGTGTTGGAGTGTTGGGGTGTTGGAGTGTTGGTGTGTTGGAGTGTTGGTGTGTTGGAGTGTTGGGGTGTTGGAGTGTTGGAGTGTTGGAGTGTTGGTGTGTTGGAGTGTTGGAGTGTTGGGGTGTTGGAGTGTTGGAGTGTTGGGGTGTTGGAGTGTTGGTGTGTTGGAGTGTTGGTGTGTTGGAATGTTGGTGTGTTTAAATGTTGTTGTGTGTTGTTTTCATGTTTCCAGCCTGAGAACAGACTGAGCTCTCTCTGAAACTGAAGATCAAGTTTCACAGATAATAAGCACTCTGTACTTTGATTGAAGCTACAGATCTGCCCCCCCCCCCTCTTCTCCCTGTGTTCTTCAATGGCTGTCTCTACCAGCTGGATAATGATACATTACTTATACTGGATTACAGATCAGGAGAGGCTCAACGTCTTTCAGGAACTTTTAACACGCTCATTGAACACAACCTCTCAGTGTTTTTCTCCTTTTCTTTCTGACATACATTCAATAATTTAATGAACATTTAAGAGACTTTAAAAACAATGGTTAGCGTAGCTGAGCATAAAGACTGGAAACACAGGTACACTGTAGCCTAGAAATATGACCCGCTCTTAAACTTCCTCTCTGTTGTTTTTTTAAACATTGCTCAGTAAAGTTGTGTTTGGTTTGAAGATGTGTTTTCTTTGTTTGCTGGGCTGAAATGTAATCTTTTATTTTTTAAGTTCACTGACAGAAACTTTAACTCACCAACAAGTTTAATGACAGAACGATTATCGAGTTATTTATCAAGAAAAAGGGAAAAAAAATGTCTGTTTGACTTCTCTAGTTGAAATGTATGGATTTGCTCCTTTGCTCTTTCAAACCGCTCGGTCGGTTGATTATATTTGGGTTTTCTGATTCTGATCGTTTCCTCTGCTGGTAGAAAATCATGAATAACGTTTTTCACTTGTCTCAGAATTATTTTTACAAACGTGTCTTTAGTTTCTGAAAGTAATCAGCAGACAGTCTGGGATGAAAACATTCATATATGTTCCACTGTAATAACAAATGTATGTGTTTCTGTGTGTGCAGGGCGCGGGGACCTGCAGCCTCAGCTGGACAGCGCCATGCAGGAAGTCAGTGATAAATACCTGCTGCTGGAGGAGACGGAGAAGCAGGCGGTGAGGAGAGCGCTGGTGGAGGAGAGGAGTCGATTCTGCTGCTTCGTGTCCATGCTGCGGCCAGTGGTGGTCAGTACGCCTCCTCTGGGTGGGGCGTTGTAGTGGTCGTGTGGTAATGTGGTTGTTGATGTTTGTGTGTCAGGAGGAGGTGATGTCCATGCTGCGGCAGGTGGTGGTCAGTACGCCTCGTCTGTATGGAGCGTTGTAGTGATAATGTGGTTACATAGTTGTTGATGTTTGTGTGTCAGGAGGAGGAGATGTCCATGCTCGGGGAGATCACTCACCTGCAGACTCTGACAGACGACCTGAAAACTTTAACCATGGACCCTCACAAGCTGCCCGCCTCCAGCGAACAGGTACACTCGCCTGCTGCTGACACTCTGTCATGATTGGTTGCTGATGTTTTGAATTCTTGCACTTGAAGTGTTTTTCCACCTTTTTGAGGACATTACTGCAGACAAAACTGCACAGATTTAATCACACCTTACTGAACCAAACTTTGTGTATCACAGTCGACATTCATCAGCACTGACCTCTAACACTGCCCCCATGTGGTGGGGGCATTGTTATTCACCCCTGTTAATTCCCTGCTCTGATATTTTGACCTTAAACCCCCAGAAGATGTACTGGTGTAAATAAAATTGCAGCATCCCATGTACAGAGGCTGTAGTTCTCAGAGCGAGCAGTCTGGGTTCGAGTCCGACCTGTGGCTCTTTTCCAGCATGTCCTTCCCTGTTCTCGCTCTCTCTCTCTCTCTCTCTCTCAGCGAAGGCTCCAGCTGACAGCTATTACAGCTATGACACCTTTAGACATGTCCCTTTAGGTTCATACAGAGCAGTGAATGAAGGTAGCATAAAGTATATCTATATTATGAAGTCCTAATGTTTACTCAAACATCTCATACACATTTCATGTTCAAAAATAAACTCGCCCACATCTGACTAACTGGTGTCATCATTTTGTCCTCTTTCTCTCTCCGTCCAGGTGATCGTTGACCTGAAGGGCTCTGAGTGTACCTGGTCCTACCAAACTCCGCCCTCGTCTCCGAGCACCACCGTGTCCAGGAAGTCAAGCATGTGCAGGTTGGTTACCTGGCTACAGAAAAAGTCATCAGTCATCCCAGCAAACCTTCAAAACAAACTGATACATCTGTTCACTTTATTCTGACTGTACTCTATTGCCATCCTGTGGTCTACAAGTGGAACTGCGCTTTAGAAATAATCTGAATGTGTCTGATCTGTGTGGAGGATTTATAGGGTCTTCATGAGTCGATGATTTTCCTCTAAACAAAAGTTTCCTCCCTCTTTATTAACTCCTCCTGTTCTCTTCTCGTGTCTTCTATCGTCCTGCAGCAGCCTGAACAGCGTGAACAGCAGCGACTCGCGCTCCAGTGGCTCACACTGTCACTCCCCCACCTCACATTTCCGATACCGCGCCTCCTCCTCCTCCTCCTCGGTGCTACCGCAGCAGACGCCCGCACGCCTCTCCTCCATCTCCTCCCATGACTCAGGCTTCATCTCCCAGGACGCCTTCCAGTCCAAATCCCCCTCCCCCATGCCCCCGGAAACATCGCAGGTATGTAGCACGGATCAGTGAGAGAAAGAACACTTTACACACCTGAAATACTTAAAACACCAGAGAAACACCTGAATCCTAAACACCTGATACAACAGGAACACCTGTGGATGGATATTGTTCGTTAGTGTGACACTTTGAATGAAGTCAAATGAAAAACACAAACACTCGTTTTATTCTGATCGACTCCTCTTCCAGCATCGAGGTCACAAATCCCTGCAGGTTGCTAGGATATCGTGCTGCTGTTGTGTGTGTGTGTGTGTGTGTGTGTGTGTGTGTGTGTGTGTGCACGTGTGTGCATGTGTGTGCGCGGGCGCTGAGTCACCCTCAGGCTTACTTTCTCTCCACAGGGTTTCCTGAGCTCTGGTTCAGGGGCATTTAACCTTCAAATTAAACTAGAAAAAACAGAAAAACCTTGGCTGTATTTTCACTGAGTGACATCATGACATGTTTATTTTTGTCCCCCAGAGTAAAGAAGTTTAATTTAAAAGATATGAAACAAAGTAAAGGAGTAAATATTTACTGTTAGTGACCACAAAGTGTTTCAGCGTTAATCAGAATCAGTGAAAAAGTTTCTGATTCTAACGTTATCTGTAATTTCTTAAAGTTGCACAAACCTCCTGAAGTCTGCAGGTGTAGACGCAAACAGACAATGTGTTTCTGTGTGTAGCTCTCACAACTCTCAGCTTCTCATCCATCCTGCTGAACCTACTGCTGCTTCTTCTTCTACTCTGTGCTAACAGCTTCTTTTTTGTGCTTACAGCTTCTTCTTCTTCTCTGTGCTAACAGCTTCTTCTACTACTCTGTGCTAACAGCTGCTGCTTCTTCTTCTCTGTGCTAACAGCTGCTGCTTCTTCTGTTGTTTGTATCTGACGCTGACACTAATAGATGCTCTGCTCTGTGCTGCTTTAATCCTCAGAGACTGTTTTGATCACTAACCTGTGGCTCATGCTTTTTCTTCTTATGCTTCTTTTTCTGTCTGTTTTTGTTTCTCTGCTCTCCTTGTGTCGTGTAATCTCTGTGTGTGCGCTCTGCATGGCTCTGCTGCAGTCGTGTGTGTCTCCTTTACTGTCTGAGTGTGTCAGTGAGGACTCTTCCTCTTCCTCCTCCTCCTCCTCACCCTCACACAGTGAGCCTCACACCGGGCTGCAACAGGTGAACGCCTGCACATGACAACACACACATACACACACACATCGCATAAGATGGCGACGATGGGTTTTATCTACATAAAAACCTTTAGACAGCTTTAATAATGGATAATGTCGAAGGTCATGAGCGTCTCCACCTACACTCCTGTTGTGTTTTCATTTCGGAAACCGCCATCTTTGATTTATGAATTGTTGTCCTGCCTCTCCATCATCCACTCACTTTTAGTTGTTCAACGGTTATGACCATCCCGCTGCCCTCTGTCTGCATGGAGTGGTACTGCAGGCCCAGGACACCCACCTCCACCCTCCTCCATACTTCACCTCCTCCTCCTCCTCCTCCTCCTCTCCCATCTCCTCGCCATCCTATTCGTCCATGTCTCCCACCTGGCCGTGGTGTCGTTCAGGCTCAGGCCAATCAGGAGAGTCCCTGGCTCTCGGACTGGTCCCATCGTCCAGAGTCCTGTCCTGGAAGGTTTGATCCTCATCCACCCGATCTGTCTTCGTGTATTCCTTGTTTTTGTCTAAAATCTCATTTTTACAGTTTAATTCTTTCTTGTCTTACTTTAGAGACAAACACACATTTCTTCAGTCTCCCCTTCCTTTCCTCTGTAGTGCTTTAGCTTCATTATTTACATGCAGAACTTCAAACTACAGAATCTTAAAGGAGCAGTATGTAACTGACACCTAGGGTACATCCCAGTTCCCTTAATTGCATCCAAGTGTCCTCCACTTGCCTTCCCTCCCACCAGAGATGCATGGAGAGATGCAAGGAAACGAAGCAGAGGAGAGAGGAAATGAGGAGATATGTTTTAAGAGACATGAGACGTCCTTTCCTCTGTAGCGTCACGTGAAGCGATGTCCGTTTGTAATGATGACATCAGCTGATCACGTTCAGCTGTCAGTTGACTTAAACAGCTGTTTATGTCCGCACAAATATGAACTGTATTATTTCTAATAAAGTACACACAGTAGCAGTGTTTAATTTGTGTACTTTATCTGATAACAAACACCTGCACATGAAGAACAAGCTGCATTCTGCTTCAAACCAAAAGGACAATTTCTACTGACAAAAATATTTAATATTAAATTGTCTATTTATTATTTGTATTAGTTTTGACTTCTAATTCGACAATGAACTCTGTATTTTATAAACACAGATACTTATGTCTCAGGAATACTGACAATTATTTATGAGTTCTAAAAAATAGAGAAAGAAAGTGATATTTTCCAAACAGAAGATCATTAATGATCAGTCTTTGATGAAACTTCACGAACATAAATAATGATGAATGTAAAATGTGTTTCTTACTGACAGACTCCCTTTGTCAGCAAGGGCAAACAGGTATTGATTTTATAGAACTTACAGGCTACATAATATTTTGTTGTTACTCTTCATGTCAGACACTTTTTAAATCCCAGCTCATCACAGACTTACTCTTTACAAACTGACAGATGTTTATAATCTGTTTAAATGTCCGACGGTCCGTTTAGCGTCTTTTTAATGTCCTTCTTTTCTCCGTTATTAAACTCTGCTGATGTTGATAAGTTTCATTGAAGTCTGATCCGCTGCAGCGTCCAATCAGTGAGTGAAATTCAATAAGGGGGCGTGCATGTCAGTAAAAAGACTTCCGCAAAGTCAGCTCTTGTGTATCCTCGGTCATCGCTCCTCAGATCTCCCTCCTCTCTCCTCCTTTCAGTTATAAGAGCTTTGGGAAGTTCCTTATCATGGCGGGTCTAGAACTACTTCCGGTTCGGCCAAGGAGCGAGGAGATAGCATTTAAGAGAACTGAGATGCAGGGCTAGTGTTTGAAATGGGTTCTGCAGTCTAAATTCTAAACATTGTAGAGAGCTGTCTCCCCCGCCATCTCCTCTCTAGAGTCAATGCTCAAGCAGGTTGCCATGTGGTGGACACTGAAGCTTCAGTGTTTAGCCAGCTCTGCATTGGTCTGGAAACCTTTCTGTGTTCTAACCTCTCTCCATTTTTCAAAAGTATCTCCAATATTGATCCTAGTTTGAGCACGTTTCTGCTCGTGGAGCTTATTAGAAACATGCAGAGGCTTTTTAGGTCGGGTACAATCACTTCTATCTGAACCAGTTCTCTCGCCCGCTTCCATCGCTACAACACCTGTTGGTTTGACCTGATAACTGGTCTCATATCTGGCTAACTGAGGGGCGTCCAAAACGGCTGTGTGGGGGTGCCTTAAAACCGCCTACCTTCTCTGGTCCAAACAAATCCAGAGTATTCAGGACCAGAATCTAAAGTTAGAAGGAGGACATACTGGCTGCTACATTGTTGTCAGAGAAGCCAGCACTTCAACATAGCATGTTTCCTTAATGTCTGATCATATAGTAAGGTCACTTTATCATTTCACTCACTACACATCTAACTGATTGGACCTTTTAAGAGAAGATTTTTTATCAGGGCCAGAAGTTTAAAGAAATCATCTAATACTGACAAAGCAGCAGCTGTATTACTGATTTGTTCATGATGCTGTTCATCTGTGTAGGACTGGGCCAAACCGGGTCCATACGAACAGGGAATGGTCAACACCCTGAAGAGAAGCAAGGACAGGAGAGAGACTTCAGATCCAGCAGCTACCAAGGCGCTGATGTTACCACAACACCTGGAGAGGAACCACCAGGGGTTAAAGGAAGCCCCTCTGTGACCTCAACCAAGGTCAGATGGTGTTTCTTTAAAACATGTGATTCATTTCAGCTCACACAGAACCATTTAATTTGTGATTCATTTGTGCGATCCTGTCAGGAGGACCGCGAGGCCCATGAGGAGCTGGCTCGAGTGTTGGCCCGGGGCCTTAGGTTGGACATCCACGGCTCCAGCAGAGACTCTCTGCAGGGCTCGAGTGGCTACAGCAGCCAGACCAACACACCGTGCTGCTCAGAGGACGCCATCCCCTCTCAAGGTACACCAGGGTTGTCATGATCCCTGAATTCTAAACATTGATTTGATAGGTCATTTATTGTTTTTGACTAACAAAAACTGCAGGAAAACTTCTGCACACTGTTTAAATCGTTTTTTGGAAATGGCTCTCTCTTTTTTGACTAAATATAAAACCAATAATTTCTAGTTTTTTTAAAGCTTTGACAACCTCTGCACCCAAAGCAGCCTGAGACACTCCATGTTTAGTATCCTTTAGTTATCCATCCTTTATGAATACTGATGGAGGGTAATCAAACTGTGTTCTTCTTCCTGTAGTATCAGACTGTGATTATTACTCTGTGGGAGCCGATCAGGACGTCGAGCAGCAGCAGTCTTCAGACTTTGATAAATCCTCCACAATCCCCAGAAACAGCGACATCACTCAGTCCTACCGCCGCATGTTCCAGTCCAAACGCCCCGCCTCCACCGCTGGGCTGCCTTCTCACCCATCTGCCATCATCACCCCGGGAGTCGCCACCATCCGAAGGACACCGTCCTCCAAACCCAACCTGCGACGGCCCTCTGGGGGCCTCAGCTTGGGCCCCATCCCCATCAAGCCCCCCATGATCCCAGTGAAAACCCCAACCGTGCCTGAGCATCCTGGCTTCCCAGCAGGTCCACATCAGAGGACAGAAGCACACCACGAACACCACTCAGCCCACCGACCACCCCTTTGACACCAGGCACCAGTACATCACCAAAGTGCAGCCCCTGGCAGACCCAGCAGGTACGCAAGGGGTCGGATCCCCCCACCCCTCCACCACAGCCCAGCGGTCGGGTGGAGTGGGACCGCGGTTATCTCCCCGAGCTCCTGGAGGAGACGGAGTACGGGGAGGTGGAGGACTATCTGGTGGCTATTCGACGAGGCGTCAGGCTCAAGAAGGCGACGACCAACGACCGCTCGGCGCCTATTATTCAATGAGAAGTTTAACCGGAGACATTTTGATTTCCTGCATTCAAAGGACGCACAATGAGAGCTATGACATCAAAGTGGACGACAGGAGAGGAGGAGGAGGAGGTTGCCTGGAGACTCTGAAAAAGGATCAGTTTAGAAATGTGCCAACTAAACTTTGAAGGAAGATCTGATGATGCAGTGAGTTCATTACATTATTGCCAAATTTTGATTTAGACTATTTAAAATTGATGCGCTTCACCTTTTGGCCATAGACACATTTAATAAATAACGACTGAGCACTTTTCCGTCTGTGGTTCTAGACGAGTTAGTAAACTATCAACGATAAAAGAAGCTTTTTTAACCATTGGTACTTCACTTCCTGTTCCACTAGACTGATCCGCATCACGTCACCCGGGCAACCTCAGTCCATGAGAAAAGGTGTCACACGTTATAGTTGTCCAAAAGGAGAGAGTTGCAGGAGGTGACTCGTGTAGCAGAGAGGACGAGAACACAGATGTTGATGTGTGCAGTGTTACGGGATGTGGGAAGAGATCAGAGCGAGCTGAATGACGGAGTGTTTTCAAAAGATCAAATCATTATTTGTATGTACATATTTATATTGACGTGTTTGTATGTTTTGTTCCTCATTCGCTCCTTTAACGTCACCCCCCCTCGTCTCCTGTTTAAGGTGCCAAAAGCCCGAGTGCTGAAGTGAACTGAAATGTTCTCGACTAAAGTGAAATGGGTTTGTTGTAAAGATGTAGATGGAGGGTTTGAGGAGCCTCCACTAAAGCTGGAAGAGAATTTATATGTAGAGTACCGTGTTAAAGAAAGGAACTCAACCTACAACATAATCTGGTTCTTTTAACATTCAGAAGATTGACCTGCATGTCTCGATATGAAATTAGAATTCAGCCTTTAAATCAGAGAATGATTCATAACCCCGTGATGACACACAAGATTATTATTTCAAATCTTAAACGATATTAAAAGCTCTTAAAGTACGCGAAACCCGGGTTGCTCGCTCTCATTGGCTGTTGCATTCCATCGGAGGCAGCTCGATCTGGAGTCATAAATATCTAACATGTTTGATCTTTATGACTCCATATCGTTGGGGGGTAAATCAGGGCCTTAAATTGTCCAGTGTTGAGCCTAAGCAGAAACCAACCAGGTACTGTGGACGCCAACAACCCCATAGATAAAGTCTGCTTTTATTTTCTTAAATCGTGTTTTTAGTCGCTGGTATAAACATCCTTTTGTGATAGTGGATAAATCTGTATTTTCTTTTATAAAAGTCGGTTTTTGTTATTTCAATATTAGTTTATAAATTCGTTTTCTCAAACATTATAGCTATCCTACATCACGCAGTATTTCAGACAGACTACCTGTGACTGTTAGCCGTCAGGTTGACCATCTCTCTGTTCAGTGTTCAACTTTTCACCTGCTGCTAAAATACCATCTCTGTAGTGTCTGTGCACCGTGTGAGCGAACACTTCAAGTCTGTGGTGCCGATAGAGGTCGCTACTAAAAGTCCTGTGGTCATTCTTAGACATAGTCATTGGAATAATATGGATTTTATTGGTCTGTTGCAGTAAAGACAGTGTTTGCTGGTGGTGAGCTGTATTAATCTGCAAAAATAAAATGGTGTTATCGTTTTAGGTCGTTTAAGACAAACCTGGCAGCCATGATGGAGGTCTTAGCTCGCTAGCATTAGCAAAGCTGATTACATTTTCTTGATGTTGTAGATAGACTACTTGTCTCCAAATTATTTAAAGACATTTCGATATTTCATAATATAAAGTAGATTTCTACAAATTTGCCCTAAATTTAAATAAGCTCTAATTATGTTATCTTATGTAGCAGCTTTAAGTAGACGTTGGATGTTAGCTAGCGCAAAAACACATTTTAGAAGTTTCAGTTTTTTAAGAATGCTACTTAAAATTTCTACAAACCCTGCTTAACAAAATGTATCTCACAGTATTTTTCATATTTCTGCCCTAAAAGATGTTAAGTTGGAGACAGACCACAGACGATGCCATCAGAGGCTTTGGTAGCTAAGATAAAGCAGGGAATTTAACTAGCTAATTAGCATGCTAGTTAACTAGTTTCCCCTCTTATCCAAGCTGCTGTAAGTCTTACCTAGTTCACGTTGCATCTTCCCTGCCTGATCTCTGTAACAACTCCAGCTATCTCTTTAATTGGTGCTATACCTAACTAGCTAGCGATCTTGCTAACATCTAAAATGGTTAAGATAAAAAGGTTCAGTGAGGCAGTAAGTTAAACGATAAAACCAGGACACTGACACACACTGATTTAAATTACATTCATTGTTAAAGTTAGCTAGTAAGAACCAGGAAAGAAAGCTGGCTAGCTAGTTAAATGATGGATAGCCTACAAATATCACAGTCAACTCTATTGTTAACGTGAAATTTATCTAATATCATGCTTTTTACATTAAAGAAAATCATTGTGTATAATACAACCACACAACAAAAGAATTATGACCCCAAACCTGACATTTGGACTGTAATTGTTAGCTTTTTTTATCTTAAGTTTGGCTATTTAGCATTATTAAATATTCTCTACGCATCAAGATGTTTCAGCTAGCAGTGAGCTAAACCTTCTTAGAGCCCGAACACACGGAGACGGGTCACATCAGGTGCTCCAGAAGTTTGGCTGCTTCTGCATAAAGTGAAATTGACAAGCGCTGCAACTCCGCGTCTTGAGCGAAGAAGTTGAATATGTTTGAACTTTTATGCACATGCGCCGCACAGCAGCTGAGAATAGTGCCTGTCAAGTGCGCTGTAACAGGAAACGGCGCTCCTCTGTGTACTCGGGCCCTTATGGGGCCAAAAAGGGCTTTTAGATTCGTGAATAAGTGAGAAAATCCTCTATTAACCGGGAACATTTCAAACTGAACCCGCATATACCCTGCTGTGCAATACTACTCACTCTCAAATATATAAACCTGTGATAGCTTGTGATTAAATGTCAATTAGCCCAATGAGCTAACCAACATGATGGTAAATTAGCTAAACAAGCTCCAATAGCGTCCCCTGTTGCTCCGTAATACTTACTGTTAATAATGCATTATTAGGAGAAACATTATTTATGTATTTATTCATTTGAAAGTTTGTCCATTAAATAGTTTCTTTATTTCTACACTCCTGACTGTTGAGCATTTAAAACCTTAACAAAGATATTTAAATATGCATGTTGTTCTTTTTTAGTTAAAGATTTAATATAGTCCGCTTTTTTCTACTGGAACTACTTTTTGATCCGTCTGCCCCTCGTAGACCAGAATGCATTGTAGATGCTGCTCTTCATGAAATCTGTTTTATTAATGTTTCCTATTTAGTGTGACGGCAGTTTGACGCCATGTTTGACGACTGAAGTCTGTTTGATATCTGTTTATTCTTCTTTTATCTGTTTGGATCAGTTTACTGTCCGTTTCATGTAAGCGTGCAGGTTTCTTTTCTGTGAAGGTTTTACTCCTGTGCAGGTTTCGTTCCTGTGCAGGTTTTCCTCCTGTTCAGGTTTTGCTCTGTGCAGGTCAAACGCACTTGTGAAGCTGATGCGATAAAAAGTGAATGAAGCTGAATGTTTGAACCTGTGACGACTTGATGAAACTGTCTAAGAGTTGAGTGAGGCCTCCACACACACCAGGGTTAAATAAAGTGATAAAAAGAAGCGTATCAGTAACAGAAGATAATTTACTAAATGCATGGGGAGACAAATCAACCAATGAGGTGGAAGTTGGATGTAAGACCCCACCCTCTGTGTGTGTGGAGTCCTTCCTGTCTCTGAGCGGGGACAGCAGATGTCTGTGTTTTTTTCCTTTCAATATGTTGACTTTTTTTTTCTTAAACAAGTCGCCACGTTTTGGTAAACGCTGCCATGGATTTCTTTGTTTTTTATTGTACAACATTTCACTGAGGTGTTCTTCTGAAATAGTGCCAATAAATGCATTTCAAAGGTCTACGGTGAATATTTAGATTCATGCAGCTTCTGTACCTGCAGGTAAATAAATGATAAGTTCACATATTACAGACACATGAACTTTAAATGACTCTATGTATTAATTAGTCTATATCACATCTTCAAGGCGAAAAACTAACTGTGAAAGAAGTCGCTGTGATCCGGGATCTGAACAGTGTCATGGTCCTTTTATGGAAATATTAGATATCTAAGTCTCCTATTAACTCAAGAACACTGTGACGCCTCTCAGCCTCAGAGAACACAAAACATGGATTCAGTTTTGAATTCATTTGATAGTCGCTGTAAATGAAGTTGTGACACCACCAAAGAACGCCACAACTTCCTTTTGGACTGATTTGTAATCATGACGTCTGGAATAAACGTTATGAGTTAATAACTGAAACGTCCGCCCTCTGAGGGGGGGTTGTGACTGGACACATGATCAGACGTTTTATCCACAGTTCTGTGCTCAAGTAAATGAAGTGAGTGTGATAAATCTGACCTGAGATCAGCCTCCGCCTCCTCTCAGTAAACTTCAGCTCGTCTTCGTCCGTCAGCGGTGAGTTAAACAAAAAGAGCTTCAGACTGCAGAATCACCTGAGGAGGTAAACACTGCACACTTTATTGTCTTAGTTTCTTATGCACACAGTACAGACAAACCTCTGACATCGTCATTATCACTGTTCTATTTTACAGACATGTTTCAGTGCACGATCTGGTGATCCACACTGTCCACCAGAGGGCAGCACCACACAGCACTCCTCTCACTGAGCTTCAGAACATCTCAAACATGTCTTCTTTTACATCACGAGAAATCAACTGAATGAAATCTGAGAGAGAGAGAGAGACACACACACACACACACAGGTTTCCGTCATAACAAACAGCATCCAGAAGAGGATTATTACATCATGACTTAATTATTTACCAACAGATGGTTTATTGCTCCTCGTCCTACGATTTTAAACTTCATTCACTAATAAAAAAACTTCCAAACACTTGTTTAAATATTGTTCCAATATTTCCAGATTCAGCTTCTGTGGAAGGATCAGTGTCTCTATAGACGATCAGTCTATTCAATAACATGCAACAAGACTTCCTCAAACTCCTTCTCAACATCTTTTTATTCTTTTTATAACCACGTGGTAAAACAGGAAGTGACACCGAGCTGTGACTTTATGTCAGATGTCACCGTCTCTCTTTTCTCCTCATGAGCTCATTAATCTGATGTTTGAATGCGCCAAAATAAAAAACAGCTGATATGAAGACAGACTTTAGTTTTAGCTCTTGGATGTAAGACAGAAAATCACAGACACCTTCGTCTTTAATCATAAGTTTGAGCTTCAAAAAGAAACGAGTGGAGAGAATCACTAGAATGATGATTAAAAGGATTAACTTGGTTTCAAAAAACTCTTTTAATGTATAAATAGAGCTGGAGAGAGGGGGAGGGAGAGGGAGAACTCTCGTAGTTTGAACAGTTTTGTTTTTTTGGCTCGGTGTTGTGAGGAAAATCCTGACCATCTGTAGCTTCAAGTCTGAGGAAACAAGCTCAAAACTAATCACACAGACGGCTGGATGAGAACTGTGTGTGTGAGCGAGGGAGGAGAGTCAGAGGAGAGGAGAGAGAGGAAGAGGAGGAACAGAGGAGAGGAAGAGGAGGATTAGAGGAGGAACAAAGGAGAAGATGTCAGAGAGAAAAAGAAAACATCCACTAAAGCCTAAAACTGAGGTGAAAACTCAAGTTTCCAGACAGTTTGTCGGCCCTGAACGCCTCATACATGTGTACATAAACAGGTGAAGATTTTGAAGCATTTAACAAAAACTTTCCCACGGACGTAGCAGAGGACACACGGATCCTCTGACATGTTTAAAATATTAAAGATTCAAACCACCGACACTTTTTTAAAAATGTACGAGTGTTCAAAGTGTCTCATCACAAAATTCTGATAATTAAATCTTATATTTGACATTTAATGAGATGAGTAATGTAGATTATTTGATTTCAGCTTCTTAAATATATCTGTAAATAATGAACAATAAACATAATCATAATAGATCATCAATTAAAATAAATCAAAGTTTGTCTAACAGTCTGTGTAACAAGATGGACGACATAACAGCTCCCTGAAAGTGAAGCCAAAACAGTTAGAGCTCCCCTGCTCATTGGCTGCAGTATAGGTTATAAGCTCTGCCTCCTCCATGTTAACAGATGGGACAAACAATAAAATCAAAACACATGCAGATCAATGTTTCTCTAATACAGTTAATAGTTCTTTGACAGTGTTCATGTTTCAGATAAGTTTAGTTTTCATCCGTTATTTCAAGGTGTAAGAGGTCTTTGATTGATAGCTGTGTTTACCAATGAGGCTCCTGTGTTGCTCTGTGAAGCAGATTATCAGAGTAGAGGAGGAACGGTGAGAGGAAAAGTAACAAACACAAGAATCAACTTTCCATCACTGTGAGAGTCTGCTTCAAACAGACACTAGACTCTGTTCTGCTGTGACTGAACCCACCGGAGCAACCTTTGACCTTTCAGCAGGAAGGTAAATTAGTGTTTTGGTTGGAGGAAAGGGCGGAGTCCAACTCTGACTCCAAATGACGTCACCGGTACGATATGTCCGCACCCGTTGGGAGGTAGATTTTGGCTTCACTTTGTTCTATGAGAAGGTGGAGAAGTGTCGTCCATCTTTTTACACAGACTCACACCTGCTCTTTAAAGTGAGAACAAGTCAAGGTTAGACTGATTATTTTATAGTGTTGTAAACATTATCTGCACGCTTTGTTCCTTTAGTTTGATGTCTCCCGATATCTACGAGAAGTTTTAAATTAAATATGCATGAAAATAAAAACATGAAGTAGCGCCCTCGTGTGGAAGAATGAGGGAGTTCTTCCTCCAGGAGTGTTTGTGTCTCTGGTGGTGGCGTCCACTGCTGGACTGATGATGGACTCTAAACATGCAGAGTTAGAGAAGTTAAAGAGACGACCAGACGGAGCAAACAGACGTCTGTGCTGATGGAGCACGCCGAGAGCGCCCAGCACGCCGAGCACGCCGAGCACGCCCAGCAGGGACACACAGACTGCTGACACATTCAGTGTCAATACTTGTGACATCAGCAGCGTTGACCGCGTCGTGTAGGAGGAGAGTTTGATTGTTTGTTTGTTTGGCTGAAGGGTTAAAGATGCAGCGCTCACGGTCAGGATGATTCAGACTGCGAACCGCTGCAGGGTTTCTCTTCTTTCTCCTTCTTGTCATCATCGTCGCCCATCAACAGCAGTGGGAACATCCCCAGGATACAGCCGATGGTCACTCCGATGCCTTTCCCCTGCAGGACGAAAAACACCAACTTTTAACTTCTAATCTACAGATCTACTCCTGATGGTACACTCCATCACTTTATCAACACGAAGTCAAAACAGGCGCCGAAAGAACAACAAATCATCCTCAGAAAGACAAAGCTACATGTTGTTCTCTTTAATCCCGCGTGATCTTGTGATTCCGTGAGTACAGCCGCGCTCATGCTCCAGAAACGGACGCAGTGGGGGGCGGTGCACTCCGTCGGTTGGAGCCAAACCGTGGCGCTGACGGAGAGCAGCGTGCACAACTTAGTGTGTGTAAACAGGTAGTAACTCATCTTTCTGCAGACATCACGCTCTCCTCATTACTCACTGCTCTCTGATGCAGCAGCTGCAGCTTTCTGCTCAGCTTCTGCTTCCTTCTTCAATAAATGTCCCACAGTGCGTCAGCTGAACGCCTCCTGTCGGTAAATCACGAGTGTGTGTGTACATGTCTGACTGTGTATGTATGTGGAGCTCCAGCTGTGTCCTGCTTCCTCAATGCCGAAAGTCAATGTGACCTCACAAACTGGGACGCCAATATAACGCCATCACGGAATCAATATGAACGTACAAAGACGTGATGGCGGCTGGGCTCAGTTACAGCACTTTGAGAAAGAAGACCGTCTGATTCTATTCCAGTTAACCCTTGTTCTCCCGCTCCTTACCTACATATGACCAGAGCCCTAAACTTTAGATCGTCTCTGTAGCATCCTCGTTAGGACTTTGAAAACACATAGCACAGTGAACACCCTCCTGAGGAAAGTCTCTACCCACCATGTGAGAGCTGACTCTGGTCTGCCACATGTCCACCTGTTTGGGCGTCAGATCAGGAACCTGCATCCCCAGTTTGGAGGCCAGAGACTCCACATAACCTGCAAGGCTACACACACGCGCGCACACACACACACACAAGCAGCAGGAGACTTTAGATACCCTCAGACAGTCTAACACGTGATATAGAAAACAAGCCTTACTTATAGTTATAAAACGAGAAAAAAAATGAAGACAACAGAAACAGAAACATTTACCATAAGAGTGGGAGGGTGAGAGGAGGAAGAGGAGGAGGGTGTTTTAACACGAGGAGAACAAAGTCAATATAATATTTATATATTGCATCTACAGCAGAACAAAGAGAAACCCTGTTTTACTTTCTTTTTTTAAACCTGCAGCGTCTTCAAACATCTGAAACCTCAGAGACCACTTTAAACGCTTCTTACCCGAGACCGGCCAGATCTGAGACAAGGTTCCCCAGAGCTGCAGCTGCAATAACACAGAGAGAGAGACACTTTGATTTTTCTCTGAAACACAGAAAGTGAACATGCTGCACAGCGGAGCGGGATGCACATCTCCCGGAGGTGATGGTTTGAGATTCAGGGACTGAGTGTGAGTCTACATAAACTCTGCAGTGTGTCCCACATACAGGTCTTTGTGTAAGAACAAACAGGTCAGAGCAGCACACTGAGTCAGTAGGAGTGATGTGAAGATTTTTACATTTCAAAGAGCCCCGTAAGAGAAACCACCAATCAGCTTTCAGCTCCATTACATTCACACCCTCTGTACTCCCGTCTACTCTGCGCGTATGAGGAGAGTGCTGTCACAGGGCGCTGCTGACCACGAGCTGGAGAATAGATTTGTTCACAGTCATTAAATGTGCTGAGAACGAGTTTGTCTCTGAAGGCGTTCAAAGCGACGATGCACTGAGTTTCCTGCGGGATGAAAACAGCAGATGGACGGCTTCAAATCAACTTTCCCTCCAAGTTTAGCTCTTCTCTAGTTGATCCCAGGGCTCAGAGACCTGGACCCTGAGTGGAGGAGACCGGTCTCCCCCGGAGATAATAATGAAATCTGTAAACTCAGAGCATCTGTGCACGATGGATGGTGATGAAACTAAAATGAAGCTCGAGCCCAAGCACAGCTATTGATCTATGGCCCGTCTCCAGCCTCTGATTTGCACTTTGCAGAGGAAATAGGAGCCAGGTATCCATGGAAACGGAATAATCTGGTGTTGAAAAGAGGGAGGAGGCGGGCTCGGTGCCTTTTTGAGATCACAGCGTTCAGTTCTCTAATAAAGACCTGAAGTGAGCTGGAGAGCAGCGTGCAGCGACAACACGCCGATGAGACTTCAGCTGAGGGAGTCATCAGAGTCCTCAGGTGGAGGAGGATGGAGGAGCTGGTGTCAAAGAGTTAAGCTTGAATTAAAGCACACCTGTGGGGACTTACAGGTGAAATCTGGTATTTGACATATTTTGTTTCTAAACAGCTGGAAGATCAAAATGACTTTAATAGCTGCAAAAGAACCTCACAGGTTAATTATCTTATGTTGAGTCGCTTTTGTCGATACGGCTTTTATTCGTCACGTCCACGCTGTCTACCTGTGCTCGTGCATGAGTAACCGTACCGTGCTGAAGCCCCCTCTACAAAGCGTGCCAGGGCCGAGGAAGTGTACGGAGCGCTCACACTAGTCAAGCGTACTGGGGGTGCTCCATGTGAAGTGTTCTTACCCGCCATGGTGGAGATCCCCAGAGTGACCCCGATGGAGAGCTCGATCTGCGTCCCCTGGAGAGACACAAGAACACTACGTCTGACTTCTAGGCTAAATGTTACTCCGTCTGTTTCTAATCCAGAGAAGGTTTTAAAGTCCGACTTCATGTCGGCGTGAATGAGGTCACTTACTGCTGCGATCATGATGGCGTTGTCGAGGAAACCAAAGCCAACAAAGGGGAGGGCGTTATGGAATAAAACTGAGAACAGACAGAGAGAAGAGTTAATGACAGACAGATCATCAAACTATCTGTAATCATGTCACACATCCCTCCATCATCTATACGGCTTCTCCTGATCAGGGTCACGGGCGCTGGAGCTGATACCAGCTGTCATTGGGCGAGAGGCGGGGTTACACCCTGGACTGTCAGCAGCCAATCAGAGGGCTGACATATAGAGCCAGACAACCAGCCTCACTCACATTCACACCTACGGAGAGAACCCAACATCTGACTGAATATGGACTTCATCGTTTCTTTAGCATCTGTTGTTTTTAATACTATCAGAGTTTCACCCATCGCTGAGTCTCCGTCTGCAGGAAGAATCTCTCTCTGATGTTCAGACTTCAAAGAACAAAAATCATTACATGATGGAATGACGTACGAGAAAAATCAACAAAGATAATTACAGACTGGTTAGACACAGACACACAGACACACACTTTAGAGAAGTGACTCAACAAATGTTTAGGTCTGAAATGCTGACATCATTAAAAATGTTGCATGTTGCATATTCTTCCTATCCTATCACAGTAGATAACTGTGTGTGTGTGTGTGTGTGTGTGTGTGTGTGTGTGTTCATCTCTCACCATATCTGATCTGAGCTGCAGTCGGCGGCGAGGGAGCCAACGTCTCTGAGAAAACAAAAAAAGCACATCAGCAGGAGTTTATTCAGAAACTATTTAAAGACAGTGTCATGTTCCTTCAACATAAAATAGAGCAGCTTTCTCCTTCAAAATAAAATACAGACTTCTCCTAAAGTAAAGCTGCTCCATTGTCCCTTCTGGTCCTCAGTACATGTGTGGTGGTGACTGTGTCTGACCCTGTCCTCTGACTGGATTTTACTGTTCTGGTTTGTTCTGGTTTGTTCTGGTTTGTTCTGGTTGACTCGGGACATTTCTGGGTGGAGCTGGTGTGTTTCCTCCAGCCAATGACAGCGCAGCAGGTGAGTTTAGGAGTGGATACAACTCAGTGATTGGACACCATTCAAACCAGAGAATATGACGGACGTGGACGTAGCAGCAAAGAAGAGAAAATATAATCACAGTGAGGAGAAACACCAAGCGGATGAAGCTCATTCTAAAACGAGGGTGAACCTTGTGTTGTCTTTTACCCGTGGACGTGGAGTTGGTCTGCTTCCTGTTGGACAGGCAGGTGGCAAACACCGGCGGTTAGCTTGTGCTAGCGTGCGTTGCAGTGTGGGTACAAGCAGTGAACATACACACTACTTCCTGCAGGGGGCGAGGCTTCTGGGGGCGATGAACCCAGGAGGAGGGGCCCATGTTACTAACATTTCTACTGACATCTTTAAAACCTGCAGCTACACAAACACAGTTTACGGTTTGAATTTATCACAGCGCCCTCTAATGTTCAACTATCTGCACTCACAGTCAGACTCCAGAAATACAAACAACCAAAGTAAAAATATATTCTTAGAAATACTTCAAAGCATTTGTAACAGTTCAAACGGATCAGGTAACACACTTTTGAAATCCTTCTTGCCACACACACACACACACACACACACACACACACACACACACACACACACACACACACACACACACACACACACACACACACACACACACACACACACACACACACACACACACACACACACACACACACACACACACACACACACACACACACACACACACACACACACACACACACAGTCATCTCACTGTTTGCTTCTTCTTCTGCAAACTTTTCTGCAAAGTTTGTGCGTCTGCAAAAAGAGCTCCACTAATGTTTGGAGCGAACAGGAAGCAGCACTGTGGACAGAATCACACCTCAGAGGACACTGTTACTGTGGAAAGGTCACCGTCTATTTTAGGACACACACGCACAAACACACAAACAAACAAACACACACCTCCATGTTGCACAGCGCTCACTTTAACTACGCCCTACACCCGGAGTTTCTCCTCCAGCCTCCTCGTATTTATTCTGCAGAAAGTCAGAGTGAGCTGATAGGAGAATGCAGCAGGATAGAATCAGGAGAATTCACCTGGAGCGAGTAGGAGGGGGTGGTGGCATTTATTCCCTGTGATCACTGCACGACCATAGACTGTCTGCACGCCATCTCTACGATCTCTGTGCTCTAATGAACCTGCTGCATTATGTTTCCTGTTCTCCAGTATGTTCTCCTCCACCCTTTAGTTCAGATTGTGATTCTGTTCAACTACACGTAGCATTGACAGAAAGACAGATATTCTCATTATAGCGTCGTATAAAGGACTCTTGTCTGGACTCTTTTTACGTCACGTCTTGCCTCAGGAGTGTTAGAGAAACAGGTGTTAGAGAAACCTCACATTAAGTTAAACCTGGACTATCTGTGACAGCCGGGCCAAAGATTTAGCACACTTTGACATGTTACAGTTCAGAAACAAAACTTTATCTTCCTCAGTTTATCCACCAACACAACGTCAGCGCTGCTGCAGGTCTCATCTTGTCCAATCAGATGTGAGCCTCTTTCATACGTGGATCCTAATGGGCTACAGGTCGGATCTGTTACGACCTCGGTCTGAATGCACCACTCTGAGTGACACTCATCACAGTTCTGGGCCGGAGGGACAGGCGGGGGCGGAGCAGCGTCCACTTGGCCTGCAGACAGTAAAACATGACAGAAAAGTTCACAGGAAAGATGTCGAGGAACGTGTCCTCCTCCTCCTCCTCCTCTCCTAAGTCCTCCTCCTTCTCTCCTGAGTCCTGACTGAGAGCTGCTGCTCTTCTGTCACTGCTGCTTTTATCAACAACGTAATTTACCATCCATTTAAGGACTGAAGGTCCGGGTTAGGTTAGGGGGAGTTGAAAGTCCGGGTTAGGTTAGGGGGAGTTGGAAGTCCGGGTTAGAGGGAACAGAAAGACCGGGTTAGGGTCTCAGCGAGGGGGCGCAGTGGCTGTTGACTGTTTAAGCTGGTACAAAGAAGGATATTAATTTCTAATAGGCTGCAGAAAATACCAGACCGCGCTGAGGGAATAACCCATTTTCACACTTCCAGAGTTTTGACTTTGTAATGACTGCGGTGTGAGCACAAACACGGAGACTCCGGGGACAGCGGATCCAGGAATAGGTCTGACTGACGCAGGCAGAAATTAACATCAGTGGAACAATGCGCCAGATACAGGAGCAGCAAATCTGCAGACAGACGAGGGGGAAGTTTCATCTCTCCAAGTGTGTGTGTCGGGTCACTGCAGGACGTCTCACAATCTGCTCACCAACAAACTCACGCTAACTAGCAGCCTCTACTTCCTGTCAGCTGGAGGTCTGCAGGTTGTTTCTTTCATGATAGGAGGGGGAGACAGTGGCGACAGCTGCTATTGCCACAGGTATTTCAGATGCTCTCTGTCGGTTTGTGCAGGTAAAATCAGGGGAGAGTCGGTGCATTAATAATATCCACATCATGACTGACGTTTTGACCTTTGACCTGTGTCAACACTGGAGAAAAACTTTATTTCGCTCACTGCGAGACGTTTATTGAGGAGTTTCTGAGTGTTGAGATTTGAGTCAACAGCTAGTACAAAGCACCACACCTCATATTGTTCACCTTCAAAATAAAAAGCACCACGCCTCAGTTTGTCCACCTTCAAAATAAAAAGCACCACACTTCAGTTTATCCACCTTCAAAATAAAAGCACCACACTTCAGTTTATCCACCATCAAAATAAAAGCACCACACTTCAGTTTGTCCACCATCAAAATAAAAGCACCACACTTCAGTTTGTCCACCTTCAAAATAAAACTAGGGAAAAATTCACAGTAAATATTTAACAGATGCAGTTAGGACCGCAGGCGTTGGATCGTGCATGATGCAACGCCGTATCGAACACCGGCGCGCTGTGAGGACACGTGTGAGAGCACAGCAATAGAAAACGGCCGACACTGAGCGTGTTTTTGCACTCAGGATGCTGAGCGCTGAAAACACTGAACTTGTTGGTGTAATTGGAGCTGCAAGCACAAACCGGTTAAGTGGACTCAGACCCAAACTACATCCTGCTCCTCTTCCTCCTCCTCCAAACCTGTCTCATGATTTAGATTTTTTGTTTTATTAAAGCCTCAGCACTCTTCAGTACACCCCGTCAATCATCTTCTCCCTCTATTTCTTCACGTTGTCGGTCATCCCCTCTCCCTCCCCCTCCCTCCCTCCCTCCCTCCCTCCCTCCCTCCCTCCCTCTCTCTCTCCCTCTCTCTCACTCTCTATAATGTAGGCTGGGAATGGGGGGCTGTCTTTATCTCAATCTGGTGCCATGAGGCTCCATTTCCGGCTCAGTTGAAGCTGATACCACTCTGCTGTCTATCTGCCGGGCTCACTCACCGGTTTAAGAACGCAGGTGGTGAGGGTCTAAATCCAAGTGTCAATCAAACGGCTCCACTTAATCTCAACCTCCCAGGTGCTGCTGAGCCTGACATGTGTCTTTTATTTCAGAGGAAATAAAACTTCACTCACAGCTCTCCTCATCCTGACATCAACACACAGAGAGAGAGGGGGGGAGAGAGAGAGAGAGGGAGAGGGAGGGAGATAGAGGGGGGGGGGAGTGTGTGTGCACTGTGGAACAGGACAGGTGGAAACTGAACTTCATTTCCTCACTAGCTGCCCCAAATATAAAGACATTAGAGACACCTTCTTTCCCCAATTTAATGATCGAATCCCCGGCTTTCTTTCACCTCCCTAAAGAGGAACAGATGAGAATCACTCCGGGAGAAGAGTGTAGAGATATCAGCAGAATATATGTCTGCATGTCATTGACTGAGAGAGGGTTCTATGTAGGTTATTTATATTCAAGGTTCTTCATGTCACAATACATGACTGGTTTGTTTGTAAGGTATTTGTATTCAATGTTTGATATCCTTAAAAAAAGAAAAAACAATGTCTGGTCACAATAATAAGACATGTTTACCCATCTGTAAATCATTTTCATTACTCTTTTATGTAATTGTATTTTTCTTCATTCTTCAATTTCATATGTAAATGATTATAATGGGTATTGTATATTTTGCTTTGGCAGCATTAACCCAAACGTCATGCCAATAAAGCCATTTGAATTGAAAATTGAATTGAAAAATTGAATTGAGAGAGAGAGGAGGGGGGAGAGAGAGAGAGAGAGAGAGGGGGGGAGAGAGGGAGAGAGAGAGAGAGGAGGGGGGGAGAGAGAGAGAGAGGGGGGGGAGAGAGAGACTGACAGGTTTCCACACACTGATTCTCTAGAATGGGATTAGTTATTGAAGACGTTAAAGAACGTTTATTCCCTGTGATCGCTGCACGACCATAGACTGTCTGCACACCACCTCTACGATCTCCGTGCTCTAATGAACCTGCTGCATTATGTTTCCTGTTCTCCAGTATGTTCTTCTCCACTCTTTAGTTCAGATTGTGATTCTGTTCAACTACACGCAGCATCAACAGAAAGGTAAATATTCTGACTGTAACGTCGTATAGCGAGCCAGCTTGGAGAGTTGCAGGTTTGTAGCGACCCTGTGTGTCTCCACCAATCAGTGAGCTGCTGTCTGCAGAGACATGAGTCTCCCTCATGTCAGTCTGCATCTCCTGAATCACACCACCACAACACCATCTTCATTTACTGAGGTCATGTAAAGGTCAAGCAACGCTGAGAGACCTCTGCTGGATCAAACTGTAAACTACATCAGACCGCCTGATGTGAATGCTTTACCCCAAGTTTGACATTCCCCCTAAATGTTGGATTAAGAATAAGAAATGTTGGGCGTAGTGTGCTCCTCCTGTAGAGAAGATCTTTGGCAGAGTAGAGACTCCACGGAGCGCTTCACCAGACGGATCAGCGTTAATTCATTCACTAAACGCCGTGAGCTGTGACGTACTGCGTGTGAGTCCCTCCCACTCACCATGTTTCCTGCTGTGTTAACGAGAGTGGTGACAGGCTGAGGATCAAACATCAGAGCTCAGAGAAACAGGAACATGTTTGAGCCTAAAAACATCGACCGTGTTCAGGAGGAGATGTCAGCGTGCATCAGCTCCAGAGTTGCACATCTGGATGGAAAACATCACGGTGAACACGACTTCACAGCTGCTTCACTACATGTCACACGCTCTCGTCTTCTTCTGCACTGACGCTCTGCAGTTCAGACAGTGTGTTCAAGGTGTGAATCATACATGTCCTGTTTTAATGAGAACATTGCCGTCTCATTGAGCTGAAAGTGTTTCCGTTTCAGCTCATGAGTATAAAGGAACACTTCTGTGAGGAGTCAGAGTAAAACACGATACCAGATCTGTGAGCAATCAAACCCTCTCTATACCACGGCAACAATAATAGACGTCAGAGACGCCGATAGTGTGTTATTTATTGTTTTCAATGATTAAAGATTGAGCTCAAAATGTCCCCATACTCACTTCTCCTTCACCTTGAAAAAAGACGCTGGCGCTCAGAAAAAACGCTAGGTGGACACGGGGCCTGAGGCATCTGGACCTGATTCAACGTCTACATCAGGGCTCGTTTCTCCGCTGCCCCCATCATATCTTCACCACATTAAAACATTTAACGACCTCAGCAGATATTTAGGACCTTTCAAAACTTTCAGTCACATCCTGTCGTCCCAGAAAAGAACAACCAAGGAACCACCGTTAGCCGCCTCTTCTTCTTCTGCTCCTGGAGGATTCGGGTTTGGGGACATGTAGTCACGCTTTTAATGTTTTAAGTTTTAAGAAATGATTCAGTCAGGTTTCTGTGCTTTCCAACAGCTTCCCTCCACACCTGTGCACCGAGCCTAGAAGACACACTCTTAGGCAAAATCTCTGTGGAGAAATATGTGTGTGTGTGTGTGGTCTCCACGCTGGTCGTCTACATGTGTCATGTGCCATGTCTCAGCGTTATCTGATTGCAGCTGGGGCAAGAGTGGGCAAAGAACAGAGACCAATAGGTCAGTGAACTCACCATGAGACACACAGGTGGTAACAGCCCACCTGCTGAGCTGATTGGAGATTTTCTTCGACCAAATATCAGGAGCTTTGTTTGAGTGTGAAAGAACAAAACATCAACCAGAATACCTGTCCCTTCTATCTCCTCAGATGTGGCCAATCACAGGCCGGGGAGGTACAACAGTCTGCAGGTTTTCATTCAAACTAAGGCTCCGCCCACTAATAAGCACTCCCAGTACAGTGACATCACCTGCTCAGGTAAGGGATGTTGTCAGTTCTTACGTCATCACCTTCTAATAACATTCTAACACCTGCACTCAGCATTCTGTGTTTCTGATACAATACCTGTTTGATACCATGGCAACAAAAACAGAAATCCAACACACATGATGTTGTTTAACTAAATGTCAAAAAATTGCAGGTAAACTTGCGTACTCTCTAAATTGCACTCAAACTGGCAACTTATTCGTGCTCTTTCCACGATGCTCCTTTCTTTTGGGTTTTATCTGCAGGGTTTTTTTTTTTTTTTAGTTTGATCATTTTCGATCATTAAAATAACAGATCGTATCGTTTTAAGCATCAAAAAGTATCGAACATGTTACCTGCTTTAGTACCGAAGTCGTAACAAACGAGTATAAAGGTGTAATGAGGAGAAATGCACCCCTGCCAAGAAATGCCTGCACCTCTCGGAGGAAACAATATGAATGTTCTTTCTGTGGTCAGATCTGTGAGGATAGAGCATGTGGAGTTTATACTTAATAAAGTTGAGTGCCCTTCCTGTTCTGTAGTCTCGGTAACAGACGTGTTATTAACCTGAGTGAATATGAGCTGCAAACCGTGTCTGACTCTGCAGAGGAGAAACTGTCTGGTTGATTTATCATTGTCCTGCGAGGTGCATGTATTTTTCCGAGCAGCACCGGTGTTAGGACAGGTGTATCTCCCGTACCTGTAACTTCTCATTCAGTCTCACGTCACCTTTGCTCGCGATCGTGCTGTCTCACCTTGAGCGATGGCTATTGACTCGAAGCTCTGCAGCTCGTGCAGTAAACACGTCCTCTCCTTCGGCTGCAATCGGTAGATGAACTCTTTGGCTCTCTTCGGGGAGTTCAGCGGCTCCTTCGGCTCGTTCCTGCCGTGAGTGCCGAGACTGCAGCTCGGTGTGAACCGCCCTGTCCACGGCAGCCTCCCCGCCGCCGAGGGCTTCAGTCCCGGCGGTAACTTCGGCCCCATCGGCCGGAGAGCTCTCCGTAAGGTCAGCGTGAGCATTTTAAAGAGATAAAAACAAACTGCGTAAAGTCTTTAAAGTCTATAAAAGTGTTAAACCGGCTCCTTTAACGCGGCTTTAGTCCTCTGACGTATCGCGCTCGGGGAGAAGTTATTTCTTCTTCGCTGCTTTTGGCCGACGTCTGATTCAAACCGAAACAACCCGACGGTTTTTACCGGATTTCTCTCCTACAACTCGGGTTATGTTTACAGCTGGCTGTCATGTCGTTTCTCTGTGCCGTCCTGAACTGTTTCATGATCGTAGAAGAAGATCCGGCGGTCAGGAGTTCGGCACATGGAGTTCAGGCTAGAGACGGAGAAGAACTAAAGGTGTCAGGTTACCAGGACTTAATAAGGACACTTCCTGTGGCGGCCTTCAAAATAAAACATGTAGCTTACTCAAAAACAAACGGAAGACAATTAGTGCCACTAAAATATTTTTATTTTGCATCATCTTCCGTTCGTACGCAACAAAAGTGACATAGGATTTAATAAAAAAAAAAAAAGATCATAGACAGTTAATATGAATGTTTAAAGCCTGAGTGACGTCACCCGTCTGTTCCCGCAGGGGGCGCTGGAGTCCCATCGATGGGGCTCTGACTTATGCAAGTGTGATGTGCAGCACAACACACACACAAATAAATATCAATTATTTCCCCGTCTACCCTCACCACAGTTTGAAGTACTTGAAAATGAATCTGCAAATTCCTGCTCCGTCTACCCAGCAACAGTTTTTATTTACATTTTAAGTCAAACTGAAGAAAATATGCTTCACTGAAAAGAAAACATTACAAGCCACCTTCTTGGTTTAAACATAAGCCCTGCCTTCTGACAGGGAGAGAAGCCACAGTTTAAGGTTTTTTAGGGGTGGCCAATCAGATTTCTAGGGGGGCCCGTGCCACCCCTCTGGACACGCCCCTGAAGGTGACATGTTGCGTTTGAGATTGAAGTCTTCCACTCTGTGTTTGATTTGTATTTATTCTTTCTTCTGATTATTTGAGGAGAGGAGTTTATTACGGCATTGGAACCGGGAGGCAAACTTTCAGGAAGTGTCCATCTTTACCATGGCGCTCCTTCTCTGTGATGCCTTCATGTTCCAGCTAGTTAAGATCACCTGCTGTCAGAATGTGAACACAACGCCATCTGGTGGTCAAAGAGCGGACCTGACTCTGAACACAGACCGGAATAAGTGATTCAAGGCGTCGACGTCACAGCTGATGTATTGTAATATAATCCTTTCTGACTTTATTGACGTCACCTGGAAAGTGATTGAGTGCATGATGCGAGGGCTTCAATGGTTATATTCAAATGGGACAGCACTTTGCAACTTCTCTGTAACTATGACTTCTCTGTAATGCATGATTTCATGTAGCGAAAGCTTATTTTACGTTTTTTTTTGTTGTTTACTTTACTCACTCACAGCCATGGCGCTTATAAAAAGTTCTACTCAATATAGGCCTATATATAAATGTCTTCATTGTTGTAAATAAAGGGTAGTCTTATCTTATAAATATAGACTTGCAAAGGAGTTCTGAAACTATTTTTAGAAACTTTTTTAGTAGACTGTAAATAGAGCGTGGTTTCACCTTCCTGTTTTGTTTTGTTTTTTTACAGTCTCTACCTTTTATCCGTTTTATGTTGTTTGTTTATCTTTCAATTCTCCCCTGGGGAATCATGTTTCACGTCCCAATGCTATGAACTATGGGTCGTCCTGTGGTTTGTAGATTTTGTCTCAGCGCTCCTTGAAGTGTTTCACACTCTGTTTTGAACTTCCCATCCACCGTATGTTGAAGCTCATTCATGTTGAATGATATTAAAAAAACAATACTCGTCCTGACGGTGGGTGGCGTCCTGTGAACTGAAGCACCAGGTGCAACCATCTTGGTGCGTTCGCTGAACAATACGAGAACACGGAAACATCAGCTGCTCTCAAATCAAACGTCTTTACTGACACGGTGGAGAACATTTAGGATCATCTCCTGATCATCAGACTGAACACTGAAGTCTGCAAAGTCACATTCATAAGAAAAATAAAACTCTTATTTTGAAAACTCACATCAGGAAGTGTGCATGTTGTGTTTTATTATATGTACAATAATGTACACAAATGTAAGCGAGGTCACACAAGAGACCAGTAGTAAGTCATGATAAAGAGGTATATCAGTGATTACAGTAGCACGTCATGTTTGGAATCACACACACACACACACAACGCACATGCGCAACAAACGCAACGCAAACACACACGCGCAACGCACACACACTCTCTCTCTGTGTGTGTGTGCTAATGTGTGTGTCTCTGCTCGTGCAGAGCTGAGAGAAACCTGCTCCCCTCCCTCTCTCTGCCGCACGTTCCACTTATTCAGAGTAAGTGTTGAACACTAACGAGCTCAGATCGACCTGCTTGCCACGATTTCACCCGACAAACGGCGAGACAGAGAACGAGACAAGTGTTCGGACTTTATGATACGATCTGTTAATTTAACGATTAATGGATCCAAACGTACCAACGCTTTAAAACAAACAAAAAAAACTACAGATCGTTATTACATGTTCAACCAAAGAGAGAGAGGACGATCAACACTCACTCATACATTTGACCAAAAGTTAAAAATCAAAATCCTCGACATCAAATACTGCAGACAAAGTCCTACACACAGTTTGTGAAACACGTTGGCAACATTTGAATAAGTGGGAGGAGCTTGAGTGGAGCGAGGGTTTCCCTATGAGATTTAAACGGCGTGCAACTTAAACCTGCAGATCCATCAAAACATCAATCATTCGACAGTTTTATCTTCAATGAACCGACTGACACATTGCAGAGTTTCCCTGCAGGACAGCGAGGGAGCAAGAAAGTGCAGCTTTAAGACATCATCCAATTACAACACCTGTCGGCAAACACACACACACACACACACACACACACACACACAGAACTGCGGCTGCTGTTCGACGGGATGTTCTTGAAGTGAGTTTGCTTTAAGACTTTGAGCATGATGGCGATGCGGATTTATTCATCCTGCGTGTTTAGAATCTGATCAAACTAAATAATTCAACCAAAGCTCTGTCCTCGTTCATTCAGAGACTTACCGGTTCCTCTGCTTCTGTGTGTGGAGAAGAGGGAGGAGCTCCTCTGCATGGCTCCTCCCTCTTCATGACCCCTCCCATTCATGGCCACTCCCTGCTCTTCAAGACCCCTCCCCTCCATGGCTCCTCCCTCTTCTCCACACATCCACAATATGTTGAGGAATTTAAACAGAGTGCTCTCTGTTTGGTTTAAAATATAACGAGGATTGTATTGTTTTAAAACACGTGGTTGAGAAAAGTATGCCATATTTTGAAACACGCACTCCCACACATGCACACTCTCATACACACACACACACACACACACACACACAGGGGAGCAGCAGTTCCTCCTCCTCGAGCCCTTAGAGAGAAATCAAAGTGAAAATCAAAGAGAAAGAAGAAAGACAGAAAGACATCCCTGACGTTTTCCAGAACAAATGAAGAAGCTGAACTTTTAGACTCTTTTTTTTTTTTTTAACTTAAATATAATAAAGATAAATGTTTTCTTCTCTCGGAGTTGGTCTCCGTCAGTCCTCCGTGGAGTCTGTGTCATCGTTGATATAGTCTTCCTCTATCGGCGTGCTGCCGTTCTGAGTCCCCCACTCGTCTTCGTCGTACTCGATGCTGTCGTTGTCCTCCAGCAGCTCGTTGTCCAGCTCTCCTCCTGCAGGCTGCACGCCCGCTGCAGCTCCGTCCGCCGGCGGCTCGGCGGCCTGCTGTCCGTGTTGGGGTTCCCCCGGAGCGGCCGGGGCTGCAGCAGCGGCGTCCTGCGGCACTGCGTAGCCTCCGTTGTTGTTGGAGAAGGCGGCTCTGTCTCGGCTGTCCTCCTCCACATACACTCTCTGGTGACACATGGGACACGTGTCCTGGATGTACAGCCACTTCCTCAGGCACAGAGCGTGGAAGTAGTGGTGACACGGCGTGATGCGAGCCGACGTGGAGAACTCCTGGTAGCAGATGGCGCACACGTCCTCGATGTCCGTCAGCTGGTCGCCGCGTACCTCCGGTAGCGAGTTGATCTTCTTGACGGCCGTGCGTCGGTTGATGAAGGTCTTCCAGCCATTCTTGGCCTGCAGGTAGATGTTGAAGTAAGCGTGCAGACACATCATGCAGGCGCGGATCTTACTGCCGGACTCGAACATCATCGTGTAGGCGCCGTTCCCAAACATGATGACGCCAAACAGGAACTCAATGATGTTTCCTGTGGAGCGCACGTAGTAGACGTAGTCGTCCAACTTCTCCCACAGGACGTTAGAGAAGCCGTCCGCCATGAAGAGGCCGTAGACGGTCAGAGACACGACCACCTGGAGGAGGGAGCGGGGACACGGGTTAGCTAACGGATACAAAAGGAGGGCGGTGCGTCGTGTGCGTCCGCTAAACCTCCGCACACGAGACGAAAGAAAACAAACTGTGTCAAGCCCTGAGTGTGCTGCACATATCTAAACGAGCCATAGTTTAACTTAAAGAGCCCATATTATGCCCTTTTTGGGGTTCGTATATTTAATCTATGTACCTACTTTTGTACGTTCACAATAGATAAAGTTTGAAAAAAGTGTCTGTTTTCATGTACTGCTCCTCTTTGCTCCCTCTACGCTCTGAGTCCGTCAGCTATGCTCTGCTGAGCCCCCACTGTTAGACCCCACGTGGGCCAAGTCTGCTCTGATTGGTATGCCGATCCGCTCTGTCGTTATTGGTCAGTTGCTCAGCACGGTTCTCGGAAATTTCAACATGAGCTGCAGGGCTTGTCACAACGAGCCAATAGACTTAGAATAGTGATCTCACACTGACAATGACGTCGCACTGACAAATTTTTATCGAGGGGGGCTAGAACCGAGCGTTACATGCGGCTAATGCTACAGCTAACAGGAGGACGTAGGAGAAGCCGCGTTTCTGCGGATTTTAATTTTTGCACATAGATGTGCCTAAACATGCACAGGACACTTGGAAAACACACTAAAGAGCATATAAAACCAGAAAAAGCATAATATGGGACATTTAAAGACGAAAAGGAAAGAGGAAGTGAAGAAAATCTACTGTCAACATGAACCTCTCGTCGTCACCTTGAGGCAGAGCTCCACGCAGAAGGCGGTGACCGCGAACAGCCACGTGTTGAGGGCATAGTGATGCCAGAGGGCGTAGCTGAGCACCACAGGGAGCACAAAGAGCGCCGAGGACACCAGCAGGACGGGGAAATGGCGTCGAAAAGAGGAGACGTGGGAGGCGCTGAGTGACATGAGCACGGGGTCGGTCATGCCGTGGATGAAGTGCAGGATGGCGGTCAGCAGAAGGCACATGTTCCTGCTCAGACGGACCTGCAGAGCCAAGACAAATGTCACAGAGAGTGCTCAACACAGATTTCAAAAAGGTCAAGGGTAACAACTTCCTCCAGAGGAGGATCTGTGACGCACACACCTGCTGCTCAGGTAAGAGATGTTGCCCTGAACTTTGACCTCTCAGCCAATTAAAAGTTAAATTAAACCTTAAGCCTGCTCGACTTAAAGGTGAAGGTGAAAAGGTTCAAGACGTTGAAGCAACCTTTGTTTCCTGTTTCCTGTGACCTCGTGACTCTTCAAAATAAGAGATTAAAACAGGGATGATGTAACGTACCAGGCGCTCCTCGGGGTCCAGGCTGCTGAGGCCGGTCTGCAGAGCCAGAATGAAGAACAGAACCGGAGCGACGAAACCTAAACGCTTGTCCTCCTCCTCGGTGGAACCTGTAGGGTCAAAAGAGAAGAAGAAACAGTGAACTTCATGAGCGGCCTTTCTTTGATTCTAAAGCAACGAGCTCTGAGTGTTACCGATGAAAGCCAGGATGCTGAGGCCGAGGTAGTGTGCCACGGACGAGATGACGGCACTCATCCCCAGCACGGTGAGGGTGGAGTCACAGCCCGAGATGATCAGGTTACTGGTCAGATCCCAGAACACATCCCAGCTCAGCAGGTAACCCTGGAAACGGAACAGTCACACACAATGATGTGAAACTCTGACTTGATGTGAAACTCTGACTTGATGTCAACGACGCTGACGCCGTTTTCACTGCTCCTTAAAGCTGCAGTCACAAGATTACAGACTCTTTCGTCTTCGTCCTGTTATGACGATGCAGTCTGAACAGTACTGCATCGAGAAATCCTCTGGCTTTAAAAATCGTTTCTCTGATGATGCTCGATCAGGCGGACATCCGGCCCGATGAATAAACCATTACAGAATCAGGATTAATGAAAACATGCAGAAATATATAAATCGGTTTCACGAGTGTTTCTGATCTCACCTGTGAGTCCGAGCTCCCATCTGTGGCCCCGCCTGTAGCGTCGCCGCTCTCCCTCCTCACTGCACGCACTACGTAGACCAGGATCAGCGCCTGTGCTGTGACCCGGGTCAGCCAGAACACCCGCAGCACATCGGGGAACCGGATCCTCTTCCAGGTGTCCTCGAGAAGCAGCTGCAGCCCGTAGATTCTGTACATGTGCCGGACCAGCAGGTAGACGTACCGGCACGAGTAGTAGAACCATTTGAGCCTCATGGCGAGGCACACGGCCGTGTTCAGAGCCAGCGCCATGCCCGAGAACACGGCCACCATTTGTCTGACGTCTGCAGGCAGCTCGATCATCATTCCCCACAGAGGGATCATGATGTCCAGGACCACCAGTGCAGCAAACAGTGACTGCAGGTTGAGCAGGAACACGTAACCGATGCCGAAGACCAGCTGCACAGCGGCCATGCCCAGCCACAGCGTGGGCCCGTTCCTCGGCAGTAACCTGAAGCCCAGCGCCGCTTTGTAGTACGCGCTGTAGAAGTCTATGTGAGAGGTGGCGTAGTAGTTAAAGAGGACCGCCGCCATGCCGAGGAGGACGGCACAGAAGAGGGTGTAGAACTTGAACAAGGCCTTCTGGGAGAGCAGCAGCACCACGCTGGAGACGAGGACACCTGGGACACAGCAGAGACACGATCAGCAGAGACACAATCAGCAGAGACACAATCAGCAGAAACACAATCACCAGAGACACAATGAGCAGAAACACAATCACCAGAGACACAATCAGCAGAGACACAATCAGCAGAGACACAATCACCAGAGACACAATCATCAGAGACACAATCAGCAGAGACACAATCAGCAGAGACAAAAAAAATTGCATGTTCTTCCTTTACAGGCTTCATATGCGGTTTTTCACACTTAAATGCAATAGAAATCAAGTATATCCTCTGAAAATAACTGTGAGTCATGACTGTCTACAATGAGTGTAACACCAGAGTCCAACTGTCTGTGATGTTTTCTGTATCTACAGCGTGTTTACATGGATGGGACGGCGGGCTCGGCATATAAAAGTTGTTTAATTGAGGGACTAGAGAAAAGAAGAATAACATACTGTACTCACTGCTTAATTGAATGTCATGTAAGCGTTTTTAGATCACGGTCATTTCCTGTAAATGTGCATGCAGTGTGAAGATACCAGCATAATAAAGAGCTCTAGCATTAGCAGGCTAACACAACAGAGTTGTTTTGGTTTCATGCTGGTGCTCAAGGCTGCTGGATCAAAAAGTTGCATATTCTTCCTTTAAAGTGATCGATACATGATTTAGAATTGCTCCAGCGGGTTGCTTTTGCGGAGAGACAGACTGAGAGACAATCTGACTTCTGATCAGAGTGAGAAAACAGAAACATGTCGGGGTAACGATGAGGTTAAAAGGCGCAGAATTCACGTTGAAGACGCGATGACCTAACGTTTGGAGGAAGTCGACTGTCGAGTGAAAGTGCAAAACACGTCAGAAGCAGAGACACTAACGGGTCAGATAAACTACTCCTCCTGTCAGCTTCCTACACGGCATGTCGTGATATCGAAACAGAAGACGCCCAAGCTAAGAGCCAGAATAAGAAACTGACTTGTTATTGTAGTACTTTGTATTGCCTGTAGGTGTCGCTGTAAGACTCCAGCTCAGGGAAACATCTTAGGCAGTAGATGGCTGTTTTCTTAACCTCCTAATATTCAAGTAGATGAACCAATGTGTTGCTAAAAATACCCAGATGTCGTCCTGATTCTGTAAAAACCTACAGTCTGCATCAAACCAGTCTGTTTCCCACAATGCAAAGCGGCAGGTCAGAGGTCGACATGACGGACAGCAGCGTCCATCGTAACAGAGGAAATAATCACAGTCATACCAAACCACACAAAGAGACCACCAGTTATCTTTGTTGATTGAGATGAGTCTCTCGTCTGCTCATTTCAGACTCCAAGTGGACGCTACACTGAGACGGCGTTTGACGTCAGCTGGACTGTTGTTTACTTCCTCATTTCAAGACCAGAAACCAGCTTAGTGGTGTATTGCAGAATAACCACGACTGGAGGTCAGAGGTCAGACTACAGTCCAACATACTATGTTTGATAATAGTTTGGAGGAGCAGGAAGAAAATCCGTCTGACCGCTCGAGCGCGAGGTGGAATCTTGTTTGTTTAGCAGTTGGATGGATTCGGATGGCTCTTGGATTAATAAAGAAAGTGTTAAATCAGGTCAGGTGGCCAACCTTGGGGATCAACAGTTGCAGACAAACTCCTTCACACATTGACAACGTTTCTATTTGTACGTTTTCATCAGAGTGAGTTCAGTCAGAAGGTTAAAGGTCACGACTTTGTGTTCTCCTGAAACATCCCTCATCAGCCTGCCGTCAGGTGAACATGTCGGAGCTCTCTGTGCTGTTACTGCCCCTCCCCCTCCCCCCCCCCGAGCTGCTCAAAGGTCTGCACACTGAGAGTTGTATAAATTCCGAGTTGTTTGTGTGAGCAGAGCTTCGTCTAACCACAAGATAAAAACAGCAGAGATTCATGACCACCGGGTCAAAGGACGGGAACACGACGGGAAAGGAAAAAAAAAGTTACTCTCGACTCGATCAACATTTCAGTACTGAACCGTCTTAAAAACAGATCTTCTGAATGTTTGTAACGAATGCTGAGAAACAAAACAATAAAGTACTTTAACATTCCTACATGGGGAGACGGTAGCCTAGCGGTTACGTCCTGCGCCACATGTACAGAGGCTTTAGTCCGCTGTCAACCATGGGTTCGAATCCGACCTCGGCACTTTGCTGCATAATGGCCCAACCTCTCCCCTCCCAACATTTCAGTTGTCCTCTCCATCCATTATCTTTACCGCTCTTACCCATTAGGGGTCGCGGGGGGGCTGGAACCGATCGCAGCTGTCATTGGGCAAGGGGCAGGGATACACCCTGGACTGTTCGTCAGCCAATCACAGGGCTGACATACAGAGACAGACAACCAGCCACACCCACATTCATACCTACAGACAATTTAGAGTCACCAGTTAACCTAACGAGCACGTCTTTGGACTGTGGGAGGAAGCCGGAGTACTCGGAGAGAAACCACACGTGCACGGGGAGAACATGCAAACTCCACACAGAGAGGCTCCTGCCAGACGGGGATTCAAACCTGGAACCTCCTCGCTGTGAGGGGACAGGACTAACCACTGCAGCAATGTGCAGCCCTGTCCAATATAGTAAAGGAAAAATGGTCCCAAAAATGAATTATTTCATTATTATTAGAAATCGACCAGTCACTCACAGAAATACTGAAGCGAGAGAGAGAGAGAGACAGAGAGAGTGTGTGAGAGAGAGAGGGGAATGACATGCGGATTCGAACACGGACTGCCCGCTTTGAGGACAACAGCATCTGCACATGGAGCCTGCACACTAAGCACTAGGCCACCGACGATTTAAAAAAAAAATAATCTTGCAGATACTTCCTCATCAACAGGCTCGTCTCGATACCAGAATGTCAAACGATATTCAGACCCATTTGTCCTCGACATCCAATAATGGGAACTTTCTGTTTTCATTATCAACTTTGTGCATCAAGCAACTTAAACCGTGTAAAGGAGATTGCTTGCAATTTGTGATGAGTTCATTCACTCCTTTCCTACCTGGTCCTAACCACCTGACTCTGGAAGTAAGACTCTTTTTAAGGCTGGTCCCCCCCCCCCTCCATCACCCTGTTAGACAATCTGTTCTCCCCCCCTCTCCTCTCCAGCTTTCAGGAGTTCGTCAGAAATATTTGATGGACTCATTCCTCTCCGACACACCTGTCACTTGCCTGATGAAATACATGTACACTTAAATAATGTATCGTTTGAGAACAGGTGATGTCGATACAAGTATTGAACCACACATATAACATAATATATCTTATTAAAAACTAATCAAAGATGAATTCACTGGGAACCTTCACGTCTTCAACAGCTGTTGTAACCAAGACAACGTCAGACACATACTGCTGACAGTCATCAGTTAACACGGTCACCCTCGACACCGAAACACCGGCAGGGATACAAACACCTGTCAGACTTTACCTGACGTTGCCGGTAGTTAGCGACTTGTTGACATGAAATCAGAGCTGAGATAGACGAGTTAAGCTTGTAGTGATATCACTGCTGCTCGGTAAATCGGCTTAAAGTCGCTGTGACAGGTGACATAACTTCACGCTGCAGGTGAACGTCACGGCTAAACGTCAGGCAGCTAGCTGTCCTTGTGATGTAGCTGTTAGCTGAATGCGAGGCTCGTTTGTCGGACTTTTTATACACACCTGAGACTCTGACCAGCACCTTCCCCACGGCACCGGCCCAGCCCGAGCCGGGGTCGTAGTACGAGTTAAAAATGGCGTCGATAATAAAGATACAGGGGACTCGCAGAGCTACATCCAACACCGCCAAGGCCTGCTGGCCTATCCGGGCTTGAGTGGACGCCATGCGGCTGTAGTGGAGGGCTCACAGTCCTGGGGAGTCCGGCTTATCCATGAAACGTTAAAATAAGAGTTAGTCCTCTTTGGTTTCACTTTGCCTGCTGTTTATTGGAGAGCGCTGAACCTGCTGTCGTCCGCCATGTCCGCCAAACCTCCTGTTGCTTCTTCTTCTGCTGTTCTATTTCGAGCAGGCGCTGCTTCCATCCGGAGCGCGTTACCGCCACCAACTGTCAGAACACGGTGTCGTTCAATATCCTGAGATATGTCGTGATTTAACTTCGTGATGATTCACAATAACTTAAATAGATTGGTATTAAAATGACCAAAAACAAACTCTCGCTCTGAGTGGAATTCAAAAGTTTGACAGTTCTTCTTCTTCTTTTACGGCAGACTAGACACGCAATGCGCGCTGCTTCCACCTGTTGGTGTGATGAAGATAATAATTTTGCAGCTATAAGGTCTATATCCTGGGAAGTTTTTAAGGAATGTTCAATCTGACTTTAGTCACTATCACAGGAGTGTATGGAAAGGACTTTACGCAAATCCAAAAATAAACAAATGTAGCCTACAAAATGAAATACCTTTGGTGACTTTCCTGTTTATTACAAAAATGATGATGATCAAAGAACACTTTGAGGGTGTTGTTGTTGATCAGCTGAAGAACACTTTGAGGGTGTTGTTGATCAGCTGAAGAACACTTTGAGGGTGTTGTTGTTGATCAGCTGAAGAACACTTTGAGGCTGTTGTTGATCAGCTGAAGAACACTTTGAGGCTGTTGTTGATCAGCTGAAGAACACTTTGAGGGTGTTGTTGATCAGCTGAAGAACACTTTGAGGGTGTTGTTATTGATCAGCTGAAGAACACTTTGAGGGTGTTGTTGTTGATCAGCTGAAGAACACTTTGAGGGTGTTGTTGTTGATCAGCTGAAGAACACTTTGAGGCTGTTGTTGATCAGCTGAAGAACACTTTGAGGCTGTTGTTGATCAGCTGAAGAACACTTTGAGGGTGTTGTTGTTGATCATCTGAAGAACACTTTGAGGGTGTTGTTATAGATCGTGTTGGCCAACTCGAGCGGCTCCTCCTCCCTCGCTGCCGCCATCACCTCCAGAACTTGTCTGGCAAAAACCAAAAAGTGACATTTTAACGTGACTTCTTTAAATCAAACTGAAAATCATGATGAATTGATGGCTCAGACGGGACTCACATGATGTGACACGGCTCGTTCCTGTCCTTCAGGCAGTGCCCCGCCTCCCATTTCTTCTTCGTGGGAAATGTAGTTCTGACATATTTGGAGCCTGCATGTGTGTTTTTCACCCCGCACCACGGAGCGTCTACAGGGGAGCATGAAGGTGTTCAGGTCGTGGACATGTTTCATACTTTCTGACACCTCAATGATAAATATACATATAAGAACTGCAACTTTAAGAGAGATCATCAGTCAGATTGGGATGCCAGCCCTCTGGAGGTGCTGTGGGCCTGGAAGGAGGCGTGCCCACCTGATTACCTGAGTGATGTTGTTGCCTCAAGTACCCACCATGGTATCCCCCCCCCCCCATTTTAAAAGGTTATCATGCAGGTTACAAAGGATTATATCACCAAGTCCAAATAGAACAGGGGATAACAAATTACAGAGTGAACTGTTGGCTTCAGATGATCCCATGCAGGACATTCTTCTGAAATCCTGGCAGGAAATAGTGAAAATTTGCAGAGTAGGAGAGTCATCTAAACTTCTCAGGTGGTGTGCTCATGATTCAGATTTTACCCCAAATAAAAGTGATGGCAGATTTAAGCAATGGACGTCTAAAGGTTTGACTACCTACTACTCATTTGCCCACAAGGGGGCATTCCCGAGCTTTGAAGCTCTACAAAATAAACATATTTGGGAAGGGACGATTTTTATAGATACTTGCAGGTAAGGCATTACTTTAACCAAAACCTGAAGAAGGCTTTCCAAAAGGGGGAATCAGGGTTCCTGCAGATATTTCTATTTCTTCTCAAGTCCAAATCATGTAATAAAACCATCTCCAGATTATATAACGCCGTCCTACAATCTAAACAAGAGAGCACAGAATACATATAGAAGAAGTGGGAAAAAGAAAGCAATGTGCCGATTTCTGTGGAGAGTTGGGATAAGATATGCCGGTTACAGTGGATCTCAACAGTGTTGTGAGATTTTTTTGTTACACCTGTTCAGAAAAGATATCAAGGGGGTGGTGATGCTTGTTGGAGACTTTGTGGGCCTAACGGAGCCGACCACTTCCACATATTCTAAAATATAACATTTTCCCTCAGAGTACAACAAGAAAAGTTTTATATAATATGGTCTAAATGGACTGAGTACATAAAACCTGTAAGATCGGACTTTAACTGATTTTATTTGTGAATTGTGAAAACCTACCCTCTACATCTTGTTTTTCTTTTTGCTTGATTCAGAAACAGTAAGCTCCCCGGTTGCAGTAAATGATCGATTTATAAGAAAAATAAAAAAAATTAGACGCCGTGCAGGAGTTTGTCTGCAATTTCTGATGGTTAAAATCCATAAAAGACTCAACATAAGGTGTCTAGAGCTTCTGTTTTCGTTGCCATGGTAACAAATGGCTGTCCACATCGTCTAATTTTGACCAGAATCACATGACAGTTTAATATTCTGGTATGATGACAACCCTAGACGGTATTATCCATAAATAAATATTACACTGTGGTCACCATTCCAACAACAGCAGAACGCATCTCTTATGAAGAGTCTCAGACTCACCTGTTTCTATCATCAGTCTCTCCGTGGGGACGGACTTCATCGCTTCAATGTTCGCTTCCGTTTTCAACGAGCTGAAAAACAGAAACAACAAACTGTTGAATGTTCTTTGTTGTTCAAACCTGCTTTTAAAGAATCAATCTGTAACTCCTTCAAACAGTCGTATACACATACTCCACATGCTAACAGACAGCTAATGACAAACTGTAGTCGTCATGGTAACAGCTGAATCACATCAAAGTTTAAAGTGATAGGATGTTGTTCTTGACGTCGTCTCTGATTTAAAGGAACATTCGAAGCCGCAGTCTTTGAGCTGCTCACCATCCGTTTATTCCGATGTAAAGGTCGAGGTCAACGAGGGCAGCGGCGTCCTCTGCAGTCCCGTCGAAGGAATGCACCTGAGAGAAGAGTACGAGTTAATCGGGTAGAATTTATGGAGGCGGTGCACATGTTATCAGATCACTCAGGAGGGATGTTAATGAGAGGCGTGAACAGGGACTGTCAACAACAACGATGGAGGACAAACTAGTCATTTCAAGGGAACAATTGACCCTTTGACAAGCCCCGCCCTCACCAGAAGTAACCTTTGACAAGCCCCGCCCTCAGTGACAGAATCAGGTCAGACTAGATACAGTAGGGTTTATGAGGAGAACTCTAAATCTCCTCAAACTTGTTAAAATCATTTCAAATATGATCCATGTCTGATGCTAGTGATGTCAGCTAACGTCAGCTGTCCTCCTGTGGTTGCTCGCCGTTTCACCTCTCCTGACTGACCTCTGGACTCCATCAGTGACCATCTCTGAAGCCTGGGGTCTGAACCATCCTCTACAAGTTTCCAACAGGGTCTTCAAAACACAGCTGAGAGTTATGAGCTCAATGTGATAATCACAGAGACATCGCTGAGAGCTAAACGCTGCAGATACATGCAGGATTATAAATCCTCCAGGATCACGATGTGGATATTTAGAGTCACTCTGTCAGACACCCCGAGAACCTCAGACTCTCCACCAATCAGTGAACTCGGGAGGACAGGTTGTGTTCACTTTGGAGTGATGGTAGAAAGCAAACATCCTTACCACTCCTCCAACACATCGTTCTCGGTTTCTCTTCATGATGCCTTTAAAAAAAAAAAAAGAGACAAAATAAAATCAGCTGATGAACCGGATCAGACGCCGTGTTCACAAAGAACACCAGCGATGAAAATCAAGTTTCTTAGACTCTGCCCTGAAAGGTCACATATTTAAAATTCTCTTCTCCAATTTTTCTCTAACTCTAATATGTGTCTATAGTCTGTCTACAAAACCCCCATCCCTTCTGTCTTTTTCCTCTGCTCCACTTTTCAGAAAACACACACACACACTCACTGATGAAGTCCTGGTGGGAGTTTCTGCAGTGCAGGAACATGGGCAGCTTGGTTTCCTCTGCGAGTTCAAACTGCTTCTCAAAGTATCTGAAGAAGAAAAACGAAACTGAATCTAAACACCGTACACATTATTAAGACGTGTTCATTACCAACGACTGAGAAACACATGAAGAAGAACGCCATCCTATTTTAGAAGATGAGAACGTAAACAAGAAGTTCAGAGTTTTGACGTCAAACGGAGGCTGAAGCAGGTCAGTGAGCGTTGAGTGTTTCCTCTTCTTATCTGACTGTTTGGTCTCTTTTTAATCTGCTGTGTGTATCATTCAATCAACCTTTATTTGTATGTTATCTGGAGACGCTTTACAAAGAGCAGGTTCAAGACCGTATTCACTGTTAAGACTAATGTGATCGGGGGAGACGGTTTCTGTGTTTCTTAAAGTCTTTAAAGTTTTTATCTTTAAAGCAGAGTTCATCACGTCTGTCCCTGTTACATAAACGAATGTCATAAAGTCAAACGTGTGCGGTGGCGAGGCATCACGTCACATCGAGACGCAGCTTCATGTGAAGGACAAACTTCCTCCTGTGGGTTTAGATCTTCGGTTCAGTCTCTTGAACTTACTTGAGTTGAGTCTCTTTGGGACAAAATTCTAACCGGTCGAAATCTGGAACAAGAAGAGCAGAGACAACGTTCAGCCTTCACATAATGTCACTGTTAACCGTTCTTCACCAGGAGAGAGACGAGCGTTAAAGAGCCTCCTTATTTGATATTACATATGATTACATAAGTCTAGTGGGAGGATTAGATACTCGTTGAATTGTCTTTCTTATGTTGTGAATTGATTTGATTTGTTTTCTACATTTTGTTTTTAATTTTTTAATTGTTCAAAATAAAGAAATGTAATCATTAGACATTAAGAGACACAAATACCAGTGACCCCAGTTTCACACCACGTTAAGTACTCACCGAGGCCGCACTCTCCGATGGCCACCACCTTCCCTCTGTGCGCCGCCGTCAGCTCCCTCAGAGCGGACAAATACTCCACTTCTCCGTTCTGCTCGAACTCAGCGCAGCGGGTGGGATGACAGCCGACAGTGCAGAAGAACTCCTCTGAGATCAAAGAGAGAGATTTTAAAACATGAAGGACAATAAATCCTGCATGCAGAGAAGCTTCAGGAAGAAACAAGAAAACAAACGTCATGTTTAAAGAGCAAAAACAAACAGAGACAAAAACAAAACTGAGACGAGTAGCAAAGGACGTGCAAGCGATGGAGAGGCGGAGGTAAGGATGTCGACTGTGGAGGACAGGCGGTGTTTTTAAATTAATCCAAAGATCTGGCTTTGTGGATGTCTGAGGGGAGGGGGGTCCAGAGGGGGGGGGGCTGTGACGCTGAAGACCCCGTCTCCATAGGTGCAGAGTCTGGTGTGTGGCATGGACAGCCGGCCGGAGGTTTAGGGTCATGGTGTGAGGGTGCAGGAGGTCTGAGAGGTAAAGAGGGGCGAGGGCGGGGAGGGATTTATAAGTGAGGAGGAGTATTCTGTATTTGATTCTGGGTTTTTACTATTTACTGGACTGTCCAGGCTTTGCTGGGTACCCCCGACAGGACTCGGTTACACTAATCAAGACAGGAGGTTATAAAGGCGTGGGCGTCAGGCTTTCTGTCACGGAGGCGGGAGACATTTCTCAAACAAAAGAAGGCAGATCTGATGATGGAGCAGAATGAGAGTTTGGAGTCGAAGATGACGCCACGTCTCATCCTGCTCCATCATCAAATCTGAGAAATAATACAAACATAAAGAGTCAATAAGATTTAAAAGGTGTGGTCTAATAAAGACAACTCCAGAGGACTTCTTGACTCGATCAACAACAATCTCTGCGAGTGTGAGTCCATACCTCGGCTCTCTGCCAGTTTCACCGCCTCCCTGCTGTCCTCAAGGTTTCCTGCTGTGATCAGAAACTGGGCAAAAGAAACGCAGGACTTTAGGCATCGGATTTATCTTCACATATTTTAAAGCAGCATCACCATGCCAACCGTAACCATGGGCAACCTGAAGAGCATCATGTCAAACAGTCACACTTTACAAAGGACAAAATGTAAATATCAATTGAGTTACCATGAAATAACATCTTGTGGATTTTCTCAACCTGAGAATAAAAACTAAAAAATAATGTATCTCATCCCATCTTAAAGTATCTAAAGAACCAAAACCACATCTCCTTCTTGAGTCAGGAAGTGGAGTCCTACAAAACGTTTGTGTGCGATGTCGACGCTGTGATGAGTGTGTTCAATAAAAACAAGAATGAAGACTCAGGTGTCTAGGAACTCTACTTTTGTTGCCTTGGTAACAAACAGGCGTTGATGAATATTGTTTGATTTTTACTCAAATCACATCAAAGTTTTAAATTCTGGTATCGTGACGACTGGTCATTCTGGTGGTGAAGACCCTGAAGTCTTTCCACCAGGCGAGCGTCTCTTCACCTGTAGATAATGTTCTTTTATAAACGGGACAAACACGACGCTCACCTTTTCAACCCCGACTGCCACGGCTCTGTCGACGATCTGATCGAAGTCGTCTGTCAGGAAAAGTGTTTAGTTATAAAAACTTTCTAAACTCTCGACGTCATGGAAACTAAGACAGCTGTTATGAATATAATACAAATGTTATAAAACAGATGTTATAAATATAACACAGATGTTAGAAATATAATACAGATGTTAGAAATATAATACAGATGTTATTGTGGCGATTCACAGCACGGTCCTCTCACGTAGGCGTGGGCACGTGAGTTGAATATTTAATGTTTGTACCTGGATGGAAATGGACGCTAAGCAGAGAGAAATACTTTGTGTTTGTGTAAATAAATCTGGACATTATTGAAAAAGAGAAACGTCTCTCACCGTCGTGTTTGTGCTTCCCTCTGTAGACTCCTCTGAACATGGGATCAGTCAGGTTCACTCCGATGTCTGCAGATGGAGAGGATGGATGTTAAAGGCAACGCATCAACAACTATCTGCTCATGAGTCATTGTTCATGTGTTGCAAAACAAGACAAACATCTCACTGTGATTTATTCATCTGACAGCAGAGTACCGAGATAAAATTCATACAGTGAGCAGGAGTTAGTTGGCAACATGTTGCCAACACAAATATGTTGGCAACATGTTGCTGCAAGAGAAAGATAAGGAGCACTGTGTAAATTGCACAAATACGTTGACACCAGTTGGCTAAGAAGGAGGAGCTGGAGAGCGTATTTGTGCAATTTCAAACGTGCTCCTTATCTTTCTCTTGCAGCAACATGTTGCCAACATATTTGTGCCACTTTAGACAGGATACTGGAGTTTGTTTGAGTTTGTTGGCTGGACTCTCTCTTTCTCTGGTGTTGCCCAAGGTGAGAGGCGCCGAGCGGGTGTGGGGATACTCACTAGCCCCCGGCTGAGAGCCGCTGTGTTGGAGTTTTCCCCGGTGAATGAGAGTGTCGGCTCTGACTGTTGTTTGTGCATATGCACCTAACAGCAGCTCAGAGTACACAGCCTTCTTGGATTCTCTGGGTGGGGTCCTGGAAAGGGGTTCCGCCTGGGGACTCTGTAGTTCTACTGGGGGACTTTGACGCTCACGTGAGCGACGACGGGGACACCTGGAGGTGAGTGATTGTGAGGAACGGCCTGCCCGATCTGAACCTGAGTGGTGTTTTGTTGTTGGACTTCTGTGCTAGTCATGGATTGGCCATAACAAACACCATGTTCAAGCATAGGGATGTTCATAAGTGTACCTGGTATCAGAGCACCCTAGGCCAAAGATTGATGATCGACTTTGTAGTTGTTTCGTCAGATCTGCGGCCATATGTTGTGGACACTCGGGTAAAGAGAGGAGCAGAGCTGTCAACTGAGTTGGATCAGATGGCGGGGAAGGCTGCCGGACAGACCTGGCAAACCCAAGTGTGTAGTGCGGGTGAACTGGGAATGTCTGGCAGAGGCCCCTGTCTGTGGGGTCTTCAACTCCGGAAGAACTTCTCCCTCATCCCGGGGGAGGTTGGGGACATGGAGTCCGAGTGGTCCGAGGCCATGGTTCTCTGCCGGAAAAAAGGTGGATTGCTCTCTCCGGGTGGGGAGTGAGTCCTTGCCCCAAGTGGAGGAGTTCAAGTATGTCGGGGTCTTGTTCATGAGTGAGGGTAGGATGGAGCGACAGACGGATTGGCACAGCGTCAGCAGTAATGCAGGCGTTGTTTCCGGACCTTTGTGGTGAAGAGGGAGCTGAGCATGAAGGCAAAGCTCTAGATCTACCTTCCAACCCTCACTTATGGTCATGAGCTATAGATAGTGACCGAAAGAATGAGATTGCGGATACAAGCGGCCGAGATGAGCTTCCTCCGGAGGGTGGCTGGTGCTCAGCCTTAGACATAGGGTGAGGAGCTCGGAGTGGAAAGGAGCCAGTTGAGGTGGTTTGGGCATCTGTTAAGGATGCCTCCTGGACGCCTCCCTTTAGAGGTTTTCCAGGCACGACCAACTGGGAGGAGACCCCGGGGCAGACCCAGAATGCGCTGGAGGGATTATATATCCCATCTAGCCTGGGAACTCCTCGGAATCCCCCAGGAGGAGCTGGAAAACATTGCTGGGGAGAGAGAAGTCTGCTACCACCGCGACCCGACCTCAGATAAGAGGAAGAAAATGGATGGATGGATGGACGTTGGCAACATTTGGACAAGAGGTGTAGCTTTACCTGCAGCTGCTAAAGAACTTATTTCAAAACTCAGTGACTGCTGTGTTGTTGACATTTTAGCAGCAGGGCTAACTCACTCCATGCTAACTAAACATTAGGCTTAATATGTTTAAAAACTAACCGGAAGTGATTCTTAGCGTCTTCGTTGTTGTATTAATGTCGCTATTAAACACATTAAAGAAAACTCTTACCAATGAATTTATGTTGAGCCATGACTGTGACAGAAAAACCTCTGAAGAGAGCCACACATGCAACTCGAACCGGTCCCATTGGCTACATTACCGTAATTACCCTGACAGAGTGCTGAATGATCTTCTATTAATGATTTTCTTTAGTATTATCTTAAAATGTGATGACATATTTTTTTTAGGGAAGGGTGTGCCTCAAAGGAGCAATCATAAATAAACGCTGATTGTAATAAAGACGAAGAAAGAAAATTCCGTTTTGCGCATTTTTCTCGTCATTACGTCATTACGGTCACATCGTCCAATCAACACAAAGTCCCAGAATGCTCCGCGTCTGTCAGGGAGAAGGTGACAGGGGACGGTGAAAATGGCCACCGCTTACCTCACCCACCAGCAGAAAGTGCTGCGACTTTATAAGAAATCACTGAGACACCTGGAGTCCTGGTGCGTGTTCAGGTGAGAGCCGAGGTGTTTGTTCAGTAGCTGCTTTAAAAAGTGATGAAAACGGACCGCAGCGTCCGTAATGACGTCTGTTGAACGCAGCTAGGCTAACAACAGCTAAGCTAACTGCTAATGTATGCTAGCCGGGTCATTCAGTCTAAAGTCAAACATTTCACAGAGAAGTTGAATTAGATAATCAGTTTAACTTATCGGAACGAAAACATGCATGCAGACGTTAAACTAAACTCCTCATCTGAGACGGTTAACGTCATTTTGTTTAATGGTTAGACTCATTGTTTTACACTGAAAGGGCGCCACCTAGCGTCCAAACACCGACAACAACACGTTTAAATCTGAGGTTAAAAACAAAAAGAAAACAAATTAATCTTTGTTTCAATAAATCTTTAGTTAATAAATATATAAAGAATCAATCTTGTGTCCATAAATATGAACAGATGTTTGTTTTTTTTAATTTAAAGTCGATAAACAAAGTTTTTCTCTCCCTCTGTCTCTCTCTCTCTCTCTCTCTGTATCTCTCTCTCTCTCTGTCTCTCTCCCCCTCTCTCTCTCTGTCTCTCTCTATCTCTCCCTCTCTCTCCCTCTATCTCTCTCTCTGTCTATCTCCCCCCTCTCTCGCTCTCTGTCTCTCTCTCCCTCTTTCTCTCTCTGTCTCTCTCTCTCTCTCGCTCTCTATCTCCCTGCCTCTCTCTCCCTCTTTGTTAAAAATCTGACTGGTCTGATGTTATTTTACAGCTTCTGTGATTTTTGATTCTACTTCTCATTTAAATAACATAACGTTTTATATCACGTGACATCAGAAATCTGAGTAATAATTAAGTTTTGTGAAAGTGGACCAAGAAGAAAAGTTATCCGTAATGAAAATAACTGCAGCTGATAATTGTGTTAAATCAGAGTGTAAATAACTATTCTGTTTGAGGTTTTAACAGTTAGACTTGTTGTTAAAATAACAAAGTGAACTCTTCTGGCCCTGCACTGATTTAAAAACACGTCACCATTGTGTGTTTATTTTGTTTTTCTTTCATAGAGACAAATATCGTTTCTATGCCTGCTTGATGCGGGCTCGCTTCGACGAAAACAAGAATGAAAAGGACATGGTGAAGGCCACCATGATGCTGAAGGCAGGAGAGGAGGAGTTCTGGACCAGGCAACATCCTCAGCCCTACATCTTCCCCGACTCCCCTGGAGGGACCTCCTACGAGAGATACGAGTGCTACAAGGTGACCGTTACGATGAAATAATCTCTGAACATACAGAAGCCTAATATTTTAAAGAGGAATGCTGTGTGGTGGTAACAGCATTGTTTGATTTGTACTGCAGTCATACAGCAGATTAACCTTCTACAGCCTGTGTGCTGCTGCATGAAGCCCTGATCTATGCTTGGTTCTTGTAGGTCCCGGAGTGGCTGCTGGACCACTGGCACCCCTCGGAGAAGGCCATGTATCCGGATTACTTCTCCAAGAGAGAGCAGTGGAAGGCACTGAGGAATCAGAGCTGGGACAAAGAGGTGAGCTTTCCGGGCGTGTGTTCCCTCGGCTACTCTCCGTACACAGAGCTTCACCTTGACGTCAGTTAATGTGTTTCTGCTTCAGTGAATGAGGCCACAGTGCTAGAGCTTGTGTACCCTCTGCACACCCTCTGTGAGAGCAGAGCCGTGAGACGATTTTCCATCTCCGGGACTTTTTTTTCTTCTTCTCATTCTTCACGTAGCCCTGTACCTACACAGACGCCTACATTCATATCCTGACGTTCCACTCCTCAAAAATGTGACTGCGTCTAAATGATGCAGACCACGAGCCCTGTGATTGGTCCCCTTAATAGCATCGTCTACCTGCTTTTACAACATTACTGGTATTGCTGCCGTTTACAGAATTCTGCAGAAGAACGCTAGATTTCTGTCATCAACTCTAACATAATAAGCACTGTTTCAGTCGCCATGGTTTCCTGTGGCGCTTGTTACAGGCCGAGTATTTCAGAGCTACGCAGACTCACCGAGCCACAAGTGTGTAGTGCTCACGACTGCGTATCTACAGTAAAACAAAGCTGGATTAATTCCTCCTCCTCTTGTCACAGACAGGAAGAGAACCTGGTTACTGAGTTAAAAGTGCAGTTTAGTTCTGAGGAGGGGCAGAATTCAGGGGGGTCTCTGAAGAGACCAGAGTACCTTTAAGGTCTTGATGGAGGGTCATTGTTGGAATGCGTTCTGCTTCAGTGGTTTAAACGTGTTTCTCCTTCCTGTCTCCAGGTGGCCCAGCTGCAGGCTGAGACTGGAATTGAAGGCATCAAGACCGAAGCCCTCCCTCCAGCCCGCAAGGAGGGCAACCTCCCCCCTCTGTGGTGGCAGTTTGTCACCCGCCCCAGGGAGCGTCCCACATAAACACCCCCACCTCCACCCCCCCCAGTCTGAGGGCAAAGTCTCCCAACTCTCTTGACCTCTGAGTGAAGAAGGACCATCGGTCTTAAGGGATGTTTTCATGGCGCTCCACCTGTACAGTTAGCGTGAGGAAACAACCCGTCTGTGTTCACCTGGAACCTTTCAAGTGGTCAGAAGTCCTGTCTTGTGTTTCACTGAATAACTGTTCCAATAAATCTATATATGATTCAAACGTTTGCATTTCTTCTGTCATGATTCCAGGTTTTTAAACATGTCCACACTTGAGGCGCTGGTGGCGCAGTGATTGGTGCGCACGCCCCATGTATGGAGGCTGTGTTCCTCCAGGCGGGCGGCCCGGGTTCGGGTCCTGCCTGTGGCTCCCTTCCCTCATGTCGTTCCCTACTTTCTTCCCCTGGTTTCTGACTCTATCCACTGTCCTGTATCTCCATTAAAGGCAAAAAAAAGCCCAAAAATAAATCTTTAAGAAAAAATGTCCACATTTGTTTGATGTCACGGCAACAAACAGACCCCTAATGTTGGCTCACTTCTAGTTTTTAATCATCGAAGGCTGCAGAAAGACTCATGCACACTGACTGATTTATACAGAAACCAATCAGACGTGCGGGAGAATACCTGCGATGATTGATGGATTCTTTGGTGTCCTTCACACCTGTCCTTTTAACGCTTCAGTCCTTTTGATGCTATCGATCATTAAAATAACAGTTTGTGCAGGGCGCCGATGACCTAGCAGTTATGTTTCACGCCCCATGAACGGAGGCTGTGATCCTCATCGCAGCGGATGAGGGTTCAAATTTGACCCCCTCCCTCTCCTCCTGACTCTTCCTGTCACTCCTCAGCTGTCTGATCCAATGAAGACTTCAAAATAACTTGTAAAAGTTAAAAAAAAATTAAAAAGACGACAGATTTTGTCGTTTTAAAACTCCTGGCGTGGAAAAGTACAAAATTTGACAAGGTTATGTTTCATGCTGTCTTAATGTTTAATCACAGAAAAGAAAGAACATTTTTTTACTCCTATTTCTACAATTTATAAATAAATTAATGTACAAATGTGAGCTGATCAAATGTACCACATTCAACCCAACGTTTGCTTCTGTTCTCCACTGCGTCCAATCAGAGCATCATGTTCCAGACGCCTCGAATTCTGGAGTTGATCAAGAACTCGTGAGTGTGATTTTTCCTGGTTACTAAGGGAGCATGTTTCTTCAAGGCCTCAAATAAAATGAATGTTTAAAAAAGTTCTGTTCTTCGTTCAGCAGCAGATAAAAACATATTTGGTTCAGATGTGAATGTGTCATCACTACAGTGCGAAGAAATGCCTAGCAAAGCCTCAGATTGCTGTTCTCGTTGCCATGGTGATAAACACTCCATCACTATGGCGACAGGCCGGGTCTGAAGTTGCTGGGTCGTATCATCATGGTGACCGCCTTCAGAGAGTAAAAGTCTGATTCTTTCCAGGAGAACCACACGATGCCGTCCGGTCCCAGCAGGTTCTGAGCTTTCAGAGAGTAGTGCCCCCCCTGGTGGAGAAGTAGAGTTTTAATCTTAACAGCGTTAAAAGGTCAAAAGGCGTTTTCTCCGTCCACATGCTGCAGTGCGCTCTGTCACAGTCCTACCTTGTAGTAGACTCCGTTGAGGTTGGCGTAGAAACACTGATGGTACCACCAGCCCGCGTGGCTGATCTCAGCGCAGATGTTTCCCGTGTCTGGTGTGCTGAAGCTCTGCTGGTCATGGTACCAACTGAACGAGTCCTTCACCGTACCGTTGAAACCAGACACATGAAGGCGGTAATGGTTCTCCTCATCGTCGATCCTGCAGGACGAGAGGAGAAAACATCATCCTGAGAACAGACGGACACATCTTCTAAGAAACTCTCGAGACTTTTAAATTAGTTCTCAGATTTTTTCACACAACACTCCTGAAACATTTCTAGAGGATTCTAAGGACACACTGCCCCTGAAATCTTCCTGAGCTTGATGTTCACACATGTCCCTCACGGCGAGAGTCCCATCGATGGCAGTCTCCATGCTGGAAATGCTGTCTCAGTCTAACTTTCAGTCAACCTAACGACAGGCTGAGAGCTGGAGCTGAGGCGGGTTTTAAGCCTCCTAACAAAGCGTTACACCGCGCCCGCCTGTCAAGCTGGTCAGCTACACGCCTTATTGTGAATAACGCTTATCCTTCATCAAATCAAAACAGATGAGTCATCAAAACAGACCTATTTGTTTTTTTGAACCAGGCTGTAAACATGTTAATCTCTGCTGTAAAAACAGGCTTTTTAGAATGGGTGTGTATGTGACTTCCTGTGCTTCTGCAGCCAGCCTCTAGTGGACACTCCAGGAACTGCAGGATTTTACACATCAATTTTAAACACCGGAGGTTGCTGCTATGTTAAAGCTCCTGTGAGGTTTGTGTTGATCTTGGCGCCTTTATCTTTTTATCTCTTTTGATTTTGTCTTGTTCCTGACTTCTTCAAACGACTCGCTCATACAAAGTCTTTGCAGTGAAAGTTTAAAAGTCGGTTTCTGCAGGTTAATCTCATCGTCTGAATTTATAGTTTCTGAAGATGTTTCATGACCACATTAAATCTGCATCAGTCTCTTCTCTAACTGATTGATGTGTTCCTGCTGTCAGTCCCTCTTCACCTGTCGCTCTACCTGAAGGTGCGGTACTGGGCGTGTCTGTGGGCGTTGCTCCAGTCCTGCAGGTCAATACGCAGACTGTAGTGTCCCTGGTTGGACAGCAGGTGAAGCTGTTGGTTTCCCAGCCAGTGTTCTCCTCGCGGCTCACCGAAACCTTCTCGGTACTCCAACCAGCCACGGTTAAAACTAACCGAGCCGTCACGCCGTCGCTGTAGCACCGTCCAGCCGCCGCCTAATGAACAGACAAGAACAAAAATAATGGCAACGTGTCCAATTTAAAATATGACATGTTTACTAAACCAAGCTCTACTAACCTTCATGTTCTGCAGCTTTCTAAAGAATCAAACCGTCTTATCATCAGAACGAACGTTTGGTCACATCTGTTCTTCACATATTAAACATGATGAAGTCTGAAGTCGTCAGCTGATCCAAACTCAACTTTGATTTATGCTCATTAAAACTGACCAAAGCGACATCGTCGCTGATTTAACACACACAGAAAAACCTTTGACTCAGAGGAGCTCCAGGATGTTCTTGTGTTGTAGTGTTCTTCTTCTTTGGTTATTGATACGTTTTCTGTTTGGCCCCTCCCCTTCTGTACGATTCTTTGTGTGAGCAGTGGGTGTCATAATCCATCCCCTTATTTATGGTATTCTCTTTCCGGCCATGTCTTCACGTCTTTCCCAACTTATCTATTTGTGTTCATGCGTCTGTGACAGTCACAGCATCCTTTAAAAGCTATCACAACACAGAAACATACCAGCGTGTGTGTGTGTGTGTGTGTGTGTGTGTGTGTGTGTGTGTGTGTGTGTGTGTGTGTGTGTGTGTGAGAGACTCACCCTCTGTCTCCATGTCACAGTAGACAGGCCTGGAGGAACCCGGAGACAAGACGATGCTGTACACACCAGAGCGCCGCACACCGTTATGATACAGAGACGCACAGTCTGACGGACAAAGAGACAGGTGTGCTCCATCTGAGGAAGTGAGAAACATGCCCACACACACGCACGCACACACACGCACGCACGCACACACACACACACACACACACACACACACACACACACACACACACACACACACACACACACACACACACACACACACACACACACACACACACACACACACACACACACACAGTTTGCAAAGCTCCTGCAGGTAAGCACAACAATCCAACCTTGAGTGATAAACTTCAGGCAGCCTCACTCTGAAATCTTCCTGAGTTGTTGTTTACACACGCGTGTTATTAGGATTCACTCACCTTTGAAGTCAGCCTCAAGTGGTCATTCGAGGAACTGCACTTTCTGGCAGCCCCTAATATGTTTATATATTTATATCCCTGTCTTTGAGTACCTGGTGGCAGCGTGTCCCGCATGTTGAGCAGTGACGTTGTTCTGATGACGTTGATCTTGCAGCCCGTGTTCAGGCTAATTCGCTGCACAGTCGCTGACAGGTTACCGAGCTGAGCCTGCAGCTCGGACAGCAGCGCGGCGTGCACATGCAGCAGCGTGTCCATCTTAGCCTGACGTAACTCCAGGGCATGTAGCCGTGGTTCAAGAGTCTGGACTGAAGTCACATTTTCTTCACTCTGAGAGAGAGAGAGAGAAACAAAGGAGAGTTTGACCTTATTATTCTCCTGATGCAGCCGTAAGACGGAGAAAAATAAATAAAGCGGCGTCCCTGAGTGGGCGGGCCCATCTCTCTTTCCCCACGTGGTGGGCTAACATGTTTGATCCTCTGAGTGAAACATAAAAAAGCTGAAGGAAGCTCCGCCCCATCAGAGTAAACACAGAGCTAAGAACTACAAATGCAGAGGGGGTTTGACTTCACTCTCTCTTTAGGGATTCATTACTCCACGATATATTTACCCAGAGTATTTCAGATTTGCCCTGCTGCACAACTGAGGCTCTCTGATAAACTTCCAGCGGAGAGAAGATGTCCTCCTTTAAAAAAGAAACAGTCCGATCTCCTCGAGTCAGCGACAGTTTTAAGTGGATTTGAGACCAAGGTCAGCCTGGGGAAGCATAGCCCAGGAAGCAGCTCTGTGGGTCGGATGGCCCCGGCTGAAAGGTTTGCAGCTAATCCTGTTAGCTTTCAGGGTTAAGGAGGACTTAGTGGGTGTGAATACGGAGAGATAAAGAGAAACAGTGAGATAAAGGCGGCCTGTATTTATGTTGCCTTACCGTAAAACTCCAAATAGAAGCCCCTCCCAGTTTAAGGCCCAGCAGTAACTTTTACTCGCCTGGTGTAGCTGCACGTAAAGGCAGCGCTCAGTCCAAGGCTCGTCTGTGTGTCGTGTTTAAGATCGTGTGGATTAAAAAATAATTAGAAAGAGCAGCGAGACACAAAAAGTAAAGATGAAGTTCAACATCTGTCCAAGACAGACGGACTAACGCTCTGGCCTCGCTGAACATGCCAGAGCGGGAACTCTCGGCTGTTGTCTAACTCTGTTTGTGTATGTTTGTTCTTTGGTGGGAATTGTCTGTTATGACATCATTGACATCTTAACTTTGTACACAGTTAAATATTCCTTCTGCTGTACATTAACTATGATACAGTGTTTCCCAGCTTTACTGTGAACCAGTTAAAATAATTAAAGTCCCCTCTCATATTGACGACTGTCCCAAATCAAGGCAGGGTCGTTTCATAGACTGAAGGGAATAAAAGACTGGGAGAGAAATAGAAGTTTTACAGTACTTTGTTTTCATCTTGTTGTAATGACACGATGCTGCGATGATGTAAATGTACATTTAACACTGAATGAAGTCTGACAGTGATGACAGAGGGTTTTAAAGGAGCGTGCTGTGTTTCACCATATTTCCCCTTTTACTGTATGAGTCATCAAACACTCACACATACAATCCACAACTACATACAGTTCAACATGTCCTGTGACCTTGCAGGCAACCCACACTGGGATTGAAGTGCTGAGTGCACGGCCACTCTCTGTGCGAAAAGACGAGACAGATGAAGGAGGAAGCTAGCTGAAACTGTTAGGACCGGACAGACCTCCACAAAAACCAAAAACCGATCTGCCTGCAGATTCAAGCAGAGCTGGAGTGAACTTTTTCAATTTGTGAAATGACTCACCTGGAGAGCAGCCATGCTTTCTGAAAACTCTGCAGCAAATCAGCAGCCAACAACACAAGCCAGTGGTCGAGGCACAGACTCACCTTTTGACCTCTGACCCTAGAACCACCATCCTGTACTGTACTATGCTTGCAGAGCTTGTGTAATCTTCTGAACACATTTCTTAAGTGTTGAACACTAGCTGTCAGATCGATCAGCTCTTCATTCTACTCACAAAGACAAACAGGAGTGAACCATCTCATGTCAGTGTACCTGCAGCTCCAGTGCCTTCACTCGATGCCGGTGGTTCCTCAGCTCTTCCTGCAGCTCTGACATCGTCTCCCTCAGCTCATCCAGCTGTTCTTTTCTGTTCTGGTTCTCGTGCAGCCAATAAGAGATGTCGTCTGTGCAGCGGAACATATCCGGGCAGCGTTTCTGGGATGGTCCCCCTGTCACGGGAGGCAGCGTGGCCGTCAGCTGACACTGACCGCTAGATGTCAGCTGGCTGCTGTACTCGCCGCACTGTTCCGTTAGACTCTGGTTGGTGCTTTCTCCAACACCCACGTTGATGCTGCGCATCACAGGTGGAGCATCGGGGTGCAGGTCGTGGTGCGTTTCCCGGAGGGTGGACGTAGGATGCCAGTCAGCGTCCTCATAGTTGTCCTTGTGGATGTCTGGAAGGTCCCAGTTAGTGTCCTGGACATCTCTGCCTGTTTGGAAGTTCATGTCGGATGCATCTGAGTGTGTGTCTGTGAGTGTGTGTGAGGGAACATCTGCATCCTGTTGAACATCTGAGTGTGTGTCTGTGAGTGTGTGTGAGGGAACATCTGCATCGTGTTGGACATCAGAGTGTGTGTCTGTGAGTGTGTGTGAGGGAA